TTATTGAACAAACAATTACACTAAAAATATAGCCAGAGATGGAATTCATAATATTTAACTACAAAAAGGTTCAAAAATTTACCAAAGGAGTACAAACAATAAATATTATTCAATACATTTAAGTGGTACCTAATTTGGCTGTGATATGTATTGGGGTAACAATCAGGGTAAGTACGTGAAGGTGTGTAGGGTATCCACGTTGTTATATGCAACTGATATCGATTGCCCCCTTGACAATCAAATTGCCCACCTGTGGGGCGTGCCACGTGGGCCCTACGTTGAAACACTGGCCTAGTGTCATGCGGCTCTCGCCACCTGAAGTTGTAAGTTCGACCCCCGGCTTTTCTATGTGCGCTTTTAACACTCGCTCGTACGGTGGTGGAAAATATAGTGAGGAAACCGGCATGCCTTTAACCCAAAAAGTCGACGGCACCGGCTTGCGTTAGGCACAGAAGGCTGATCACCTATTAGAACCATCAAATGACCACGAGACATATACAAAAAGGTAGCTTTTTAGATCCGGCCTTCAAATTTTCCCCACTCGTTTCTTTTCTGGTATTTATTATATTTATTAAAGATAATGGATTAATAAACTTGTTAAAAGGAGAGCATTGTAAAGAATTCCACTTGAGTTATTTGCATAGCTTATACGCAGTTAAAATAATGACGCTTGACAAGTTACAACAATTCAAAGTAATGTCAAATAAACATGAACGACATTTCGTATATCCGGTTTCGGGAAATATTTTAATAACCGAATTCGAAATCCCCGAAACACTTCGAGGCGCAAATGTTTAGTTTATTTAACAATTTTAGAGATTTTAACAGCAACAACAATAAAAACTGGTATAATCATTTGATTTAATTACGTGATACCGTTTCATAAGTATTATTTATACTGTTCAAGAATACGTACGCTTAGTCGAACTTTAAATTTAAGTTATGAAAGTCAAACAACGGCTCGTTTACAGGAATACGTAAACATGTATTCAATGGTATGTGCACGCTACGAAACTTTACCATGCATTATCATTCCATAATGTAAAATAGGTACAATGCATTCCATACAACGCCTAAATGTAACCCGCTTTATAAGTTTACAACTTCAAACTCTTATTTAAACATCAGTCTAGTGTTCTTAGTTTATTATATACTGTGGAATAACACCAATCTATTAACAAGTTCGATATTCTCTTCTCAAGGAAAACATTTCGACTCAGCCCTGGGAAGCAGTGTCGAACATTCAACGCATACAAGGTCTAAGTAACCTACAACTTCGTTCAGTCTACGCAAATATTGTTACATACATACGGAGAAAGGACAACATCGTATATTGTTCCGCGCCTTGTTTATTGTTTACCCTCAAATCTTAAAATAACACCCGAAAATTGTGAGGGTTACTCTTAAAAGATGCATATGATAGATGCATAAATTTAAGGTAGATGTAATATTACAATTCACACCAATTGACCTAGTCCCATTATAAGCTGGTGAAGCTTGTGTTATGGGTACTAGGCAACGGATACACATACATATTATACATAGATAGACCTAACACATAATATAAATACATATTTAAACACCCAAGACCTAAGCACAACACCAAATGCTCATCACATCGATGTTTGTCTCAGCCCTGGATCGAACCCGGGACCAATGGATTCGCAGTCAGGGGTACTAACCACTATATAATATATGTTTATCGTTTATTAAACTAAATGAGTTTATTTGTTGTAATGTTTTCGTTTCTTATTTTTGTAATAATTGTATTTCATTTTACCTCTAGTTTATTGGTAATTTAAATGTGTGTGTCGCCCTTTAAGCTTACCCCTTAGTGATTTTTGGGGCTTTCTGCACTTCCAGATTATAAATATAGGCAATATTAAATTTTTAAAAAGTCAAGCTTTGTCAACATTAGCAGCGTTTTGTGGGCGAATATGAAACTAAACGGAAGCATCGTTCGAAAATAAAAAGTTCATAAATTATCTGTTTTGTCAATAACTTACGTAAACACGTCGAATTGTAATCCTCTGCCTTGACAAATAGATTAAAAAAAGATTTTTTGATATTTATTTTTCAATTTCCTGTAAATGTTTTTAAATGTACACACCAGTTTTATTATATTCACGCGTTTAAGTGTATAGCGCACCCTTTGGGACAATTAAAATATTAAATGTAAATGAACAACAAAATGTAACAATTAACGCGTTTCATTAAGTATTGTTAGTCCGGTCAATATAGACCCGGAGAGCCATTTTTGAATAGAATTTTAAGATCTACAACTTTGGTTTAAGGTTTTTTTGATAAAACTTACCGTGTTAGAGAAAATTTAAAAAAACTCAAATTTTGACCTTTGACCCCGAATAACTTTTGTAGCACATATAGAATCAATGGGGACTTTTAAAACTTTATTTGTAATGGTAAACCCCAGATAAACCAATATTTGGCTCCGGGAATTTTTGTTATTTGACCACTATTACGTGTAAATTGACCGGACTATGTATATAACCATATACTATATATATTTGTACGTTACATAAGCGTAATTTGAATTTGAGCTCCGATGAATCGATACAAATTTGGAGCGTCTTCTGTAATAGATTTAGGCACTGTAATGGAAGCAAACCGCAAAGTTGGTCTTGCGGCTGACAAGCCTACACCTGGGCAAGGTGACATGCTCTTAGCAAACCTGTTACTGGAATTAACATGAACTTTATGCGCTCCACAAGTTCCTTCAACGAAGAATATTGTGGAACTAAAGCCCTTTTTTTGCTTCTGGGGATTCTGCTATTTCGTAACCATTATTAAATTGTTTCATCAAAAAAATATTTTTGTCGTCTCATCATGTGGTCATCGTTGCGTTTATTGGCCACTTTCATATCTCCAAATTGAAACAATAGTAATTCTTTAGAAAATTATTGTCTTAACATTAACTTTAACTAGTATAAGTTTTGAAAAAATTTCTTGAACTATGTTAAAAACTTATTTACTTACTTAAAAGTTTTTAGCAAATCTTATTTCAGTTGGTTTTATTTAATATTTGCAATCATATATTGACGAAAACATAATAGTTTACTACAAACGATACTATTTCTTAATAACCATCTTCTTAATCAGTGTAGACAAATAAGAAATTATGAAAGCTCAAAGCTAACTGCAGACGAAGGCACAGCTACGAGTTGCACAAAGCCAACGTAGATATTTTATGAAAAAATTATAAATTGCAAAAGTGCAATTTATTATATAAAAAGCACACTATTTAATACTTCGTCAGAGTTCCCAAAGAGCTAATGCATAATAATGTTAACACGTCAAAAATTAATGCTCATAAATTATGAATAGTAGAACAGTTGAAACGGCCTAACACGTAATATCCACGCAACGCGATGTCGCTCGCAGCTACTGCGGTTTCCAGGACCGGATTGTGCTAGATAAATAGGCCCCAAATGCTGATATATATGTAATAGAATATGCCTAAAGTTCACTTTGAAGACATGAATCTGTAAAGTACCTTGTTATATTACCAGAAGTTTAAGCAAAAAAAAATTGTTTGTTAATTATGTCTAGTACCTAGGTACGTAGTAGTAGCACGAACTCTGTCTTGGACAACTGAGTAACGATATTACCCCATAAACGTTTACCTAATATTCTTTATTGGTAATGTAGAAAAAAAATTAAAACAATTGACATACCAGTAAAATCTGTATATAAGTTATATTCATAATCGTAACAATGTCTTTGGTTTACACGACACCTACACATAAATAAAACGGATATATATAATTATATGTGTACATAATTACTCGTACCCCTACCTTTGCATTAATGGTTATCAGGCATCAGCGATTGACAGCAAGTTGACAGATAATAATTTGTTATAATTAGTCTATTGAAGTGTTGCCATTTTAACCACATCCATTGACGAATATTGCAAATGTAATATGTAAATATTGAATTTAACTTATTAATCGCTTTTGTATTTTTTTAAAGTAAAAGCGATTAATAAATTAAATTCATTAAAAATAACCAAAGCTTTATTTAAAGCATAGTCGTAGTTTGTCAGTTTATGAAAGGTTAATGATGCATTAAGTAATAGTGGTAGTATCTAAGTGTAGTGTTCCACACTGGGCCCCTCCAGATTATTACTCCAGGCCCCACTCTGCTTTGATCCAACACGTGATTTCACGTATCAGCCCGTCGGCGATAACATTTACAGGTTTATTGTACGTTTTGTTAGATAATACGCAGCCGCTGCTATCCATAAACATTATAGTTATGTTTCAACAGAATGTTATGCAATTGTCCATTTATATTTTACATATAAAAGCATTATTGTTTAAAATTTGTTTTATTTTTATTAGTGGTTATGAAACCAACATTTTTGTAATGTATCTTGATGTGGCAGTGTCTTGCTGATCACTATTGCTAAAAAGTCCTCGGAACTTAGTGATATACGTAGTACGTAATAATTAAAACCTCGATAGTGTAATTAAAATGTGTATCAGGTAGGTATTGTAATTACGAATAATTTAGAACTGTCGCCGACTGTAATGTTAGTACCTAAATTAAAGTTAGTAAAAGTTGACAAGCTTGTAATTAATTGTTCCTAATATTAAAGCTGTGCATTTTTGATATGAAGTATGTACTTATATTTTGTAATGTTTTTATAGATATTTTCATCAAAATACTAGATGGCGCTATACTTAATGCCAACTTCGCCAGATTTTCAGAGATTAAATAACAGTCTTATTATTTTACTTGCATTAAAACTAACTGACTTAAAATTGCTAGGCACCTAGTATTTTTTTGTCTATTAAAATATTGTTTCTAAAGTATTTACTTTTTATTTTAACAATTTCTTGATTTTATCTATAAAATTAAAATTTTGGGTCATAGCAGAATTATACTTATGAATGTAGTTATTCTTATATATAACTGCTTGTTTCAATTTAGGTTTGTATGGTCGGCAAATTAAAAGCAATGAATTATGCTTAACTTATTTATTCTTGGCTAGCATCCACATTTTCGGTTTGTAAGCCCTTAATTGATGCTACTGGAACATATGTTACCAGTGTAAACAATTTGTGTGTTGAGTCCTCATCATCATTACGTCTGCGGGATAACCTTACACGAACTCTGAAGGGGACATTCCTGAAATTAAAAGTAACAATGACATTGAGCATCTTTGGAAACTAATATTAAAATTTAATTAATATTTTATAGATAATTACATTATATCACTAATAATCTAATAACACTATTATCTAATATTTAATGTCAGTTTAACCTAAAGAAGTATCTTAAGGTTGAATTGAAATATTCGACAAAGTAAATCTCTATTAAAAACTGAATATATAAAACAATGTGTGGAAGATATATTGTGATGACTGGCCTTTGAGTTAGTAATCAAATTATAGAAACAACAAAGAAAATAAGAATTATTTAAGTTTCTTGCAGATAATTTACAATCAATAAACCTAATAGAAATGGACAGTTATGTAATAAAAGAAAATATTATAGCTGAATGAATAAGACCTCCAGTCTGACACATGTAGAATATTTTTAACACATTATATATTTAACAAACAAGTATAATTAAATGTTTTATGCATGATACTTATTACAATGTCTGTTTTATATGTTTTTAAATATACTTTTAGTAAACAGTAAAAGTAAAAAAAGCTAAATTTAAGAGTCACAAGTCAAGGCTAGTAATTTAGTAGTATTACAGTAGAGGTTATAATAGGAACTTTTGATTCCTATAGAGCTGTTAATACACAGCAATTCAACAACACAAACAAGAAAATTATTTTCTCTTATTACTTACTTTATTCCCTTAGACCAAAGATATTTATTCAATCTAGTGTCTACTCGAACATCAGGTGTACCCATTTGTTGTTCAGCGAATTTACGGATCTCCTTGATGGCGCGAGGAGCACGTCTTTTAAAACCAACTCCATGGAGCCGTTTATGTAGGTTAACTGTGTATTCACGAGTTACAACTTCATTTATCGCTGACTTGCCTTTCCTCTCTCCTTTTGGTTTGGCCATTGTAAACAATCTGTAAATGTACACAACACTCGTAAATATTAATTGAACCTCACTTTATGGTGTATCGTTAACACATTTTACGAGACAAGTTTTATTTATTTTATAAATATTATTAGGATTTTTAAGGATTAGAATATGAAATCACACCTTAGCGAACAAGCGCCGATACAAAAAGAAATGTCAACGTCATACAATTACAATTTTAAGTCGATGTCATGACTGTGACAGTTATGAAAAAACAGACGTCCTACGTCTCTCAGTAGTCAGTAATCAGTAGTAAATAGTCAGTATCATCAACCATTTGTGGCTATCCGTACAAAAAATATACTAATTATCAGATGTTTGTTTTTCTATTATACACTTTGTTTGTAATATTAGCCTTTCTCAATCGGCTAACTGAGGGTTAGTAAAGAGCTTAGTTATCGCATTACGACTAAGTTAGTGGATTGTATAATAACAATTGCCTAATTAAAAAAATATTTTAAATTCTGTTTAGTTACGGATTTTATAAGTTCCAATTAAAATTAATTATTTAAAGATATTTTAAATTCTGTTAGTTACGGATTTTATCAGTTCCAATTAAAATTAATTATTTAAAGAACCCTCCATAATGCTTCTATTAGAGGGATGATGAAATTATTTACAAGCCAATCTATGTAACGAAAGTTACACCAAGTTACTAATACGAATAACGAATGCATAACTGGCAACTTTGTCATCGGATAATCGGATATTCTGTAATCTGTATTGAAAATCTATATTATAACGTAAATAATAACTCTTAATGATTGGAAAAAAATTGTTTAATTCTACTTATTGTGAGGTTAATTTACGTTATTTTTTTATAAGTCATCAAAATTAAAATATGTCAGACGTTTATAAGTGAGTTCAAGTTGTGTACTTACTAACATAACCTAAAATATTAAACCAAAACAAACATTAGACTAACCTTTAATTTTTTTCAGGGTTATACATCCTAATAAATACTTCAATGACTACATATCTTTAAATGTGAGACCCGACGGAAGAAAATTTGACGAACAGCGAAGTATTAAATTAAACGCCAATGCCATTAGTAATGCAGATGCTTCTGCACTTATTAAATGTGGAAATACCACTGTTGTTTGTGGAATAACATTAGTAAGTTTATTGTGGCCAAGAATTTTAGTGTTGTAATACAAAACATTTAATTAATTGTTATTTCAGGAATTAGCAACACCTAAAGCTGAAGAACCTGATCATGGATTTCTTGTAACTAATGTTGAATTATTACCCTTATGCTCTTCCAAGTTTAAGCCAGGACCTCCATCCGACTATGCTCAAGTAATCAGCAATACTGTTAATGATATTATCAAAAACTCAAATTGCATTGATCTTAAGGACTTGTGTATTGTTTCTGACAAGTTAGCATGGGTTCTATATTGCGATATGGTGTGCTTGGATAATGATGGAAGTATTATAGATGCTTGCATAACAACCTTAATAACAAGTCTTAAATCATGTAAGAATGTTCTGTTAATTAATGCTTAATCCTTATTTTGTTTGGCCATTAGTATTTTTAAAGTTTTTTGTTTTAGTATCTTTGCCTGCTGTATCATTTGATGTTGAAACAGAAGAAGTGAAAGTTGACATTAGTAATAAGACATCATTAAAAGTAACTGGATTACCAGTAGCAACAAGTTTTGCAATATATCAATCTCCCGAAAGGTATTTTATTTATAAATTAAGATGACACTCCTTGGTTATAACAAACATTGGTGCTCGTTGAATAGTAATCTGCCATTACCTACTATGAGAAACAGTTGGTTTAATTTTAGAACCAGACAAGGAGCTGAAAAATACATAAAATACACACACACACACACAATAAATTTTGTTGTCAGTTAAGAAAGGAAGTTAGGTTTTAAATCAATTAATAAATCATGTATTATGCATTGTATGTTGTATTTCTATAATCCTAAAATTTAAATATTATTTATAGCAACCTTGTGCTAACCGATCCAACCACATTTGAAGAAGAAATGTGTGGAGGTATTGGAGCAAATCTGATAGTCTGCTGGAACCAAGGTCTTCTTTGTGGTGTTCAGAAGTATGGAGGTGGTAATATACCAACAGAAAGTCAGAAAAAATTACTTCAAGTTGCCAAGAAACGAAGCAAGCTCATAGAGGAAGTCATTGAAACTTGTCTAAGCTAAATAATAACTAATAAATATTTTAAGCAGTCTTTACATAACAAGAACTTGTTTTTATTTAATAGGTGTAATACAAAACAAAAATAATACAAAATTAATAGTAAAGTTACATTATTCATAATTAAAATAGATTAGCTTACAGTAAAACAAATATTATATATATTTGGTATATAGAACATATTACATTTTCAAATATTTGTTTGAGGTTCAGTCATTTTATTATATGAAAAGCTATTCTGATTAACATTATAAGAGTTTTCCACACGCTGTATTCCCTTTGCCACTTTTTCATCTATTTCATATAAAGACACAAACATTGATTTAATTTTCATTAACATATTATTAAGGTCTTTCATTTTATTATATTCATTAACTTTATGTTTGGTATAAGTACTAAAAAACAATACAAATGCAACTACAATTAAAAGAATGAGCTTGTTACTTAAGACGTGTTTGTTAATTTTTATGTCAGTTTTCTGTAATTGGGAGGCATCAATAGTTACTTTTTTTTCTGTTTTTATATGCGTCATTGATACATTACCAATATGAATCTTAACATTATTTTTAGTTTGTCCAGGTTCAGTATTATGCTGGGAACTAGGAGATTTTAAGGCTTTGTAAGTGCTTGGATTCATTTTATAGAGATGCACTCAAGCTATTTAAATACACATTAACATTCACCAGGACGTACATCTGTAAAATAATAACATTTTTTATGTATATTATTTTGGATTATTTACATTTTCAATTCCTAATTTTTTTTATTAAATAAGCAATCTTTAACAAACTCACAGAGCTTGAATCTTTAAGATTTTCATTTAGATTTTTCTTCCATATTTGTTCAAATATTTTGTCTGATAGGTGGATTTTTTTCAATATTCCCGTAAATAAATAAAACACTTCACTTTATTTATAATGGCGACTTCTAATAAATAAATCATGCTTAAGCGAAAAATAAAAACAATCTTCTATCATCTATGTTTACAATTAGATTATGTACTGTATGATTTAATTTACTTTATGGTTAGGTGCACAGATTATAGCTAATATAGTAGGTGGTACAAGTAAATGTAATTATGTGCGTTTTCCAATTACAGAGCATTATGCGACTCAGTGCCGCATAATGCCGCATAATGCTGAAGCTTAATTGGAACGTGAATTAGTTTTCAAATGGATCAGGGGGTCTAGCCAAGATGGCTTAACAGTAGTGTATGTAGAAAGTCGAAAACTAAATTTGTATGAAAATGACAGCTCGTGTCGACAGTCGGTAGCCTAGGCCCTAAAGGCGTGAGTCGGGATACAATAAGCAACGCCATGACAGTGCTACGAAAAGACACACATTAACGCTTACGCTATTCGGTAGCCAACGGCCAATTAATGTTTCGGCAGTGTAGAAAAAACGGCGTTTCTCCGCCATGTTTTAGCGTGATCTCAAAAGCTGCTGTTTGCAACAATTCAGTACAACTATTGCCATCTTTAATGGCTACCGTTTTAAAAACATGTCATATTTTAGACGTTTTAACGAAATGGTTTTAATTTGTTATCTGTCTTTTTTAACGTTCTCGTGTACCTAATTACATATAATAATTTAAACTAGAGTTAATATTTTTAAGTTAAGAGTTTTAGTTTTTCTATGAAACAATGCGAGGATAACATAATAGACACAGATAAATATGAAAATATCAAGAAAATCAGTAAATTAGTAGAGGTAAATCCTAGTGATATTGGATATCTTTTATTGATATTTATATTGCATGTAAGTTCATGAAATTATTCTTTAATTTGAAAAATATATATATCATTTAATATTGCATATATTATGTAATCACAAAGTAAAATGATTGTACATTTTATTTGTATATTTCAGATGAGAAAGCAGTCACTAATGAACATAATTAGAAGTTCTAAATATATTTTATTGTAATTATAATAGAAGCTAATGATATAATATTGATTTAAATTAATCAAATAAAGTGGATTTATACTTTATGAACTTTGGAAATATAAAATCTAGTGAGCAATACTAAGTAATCGTAAGCAGATATTTTCTTTAATTATTTACTAAGTCAATATACTAGAGAAGTTATTATAATATTGTTAATAAATGAGAAGTTTGAATTCAAGTCCCTTGGGAGTTACTGACATTGTTTGGTTGTTAAAAACTTTAATTGACAATAAGCAGCAAAGTGACAAATTAAGTATATTTTTAAGTTTAGAATTAAGTAAAGAGTTTTAATATTAAAGTTACCTATTGAACAAACCTTGGACCGATCTTACAGTTTAGTTTGTCAGTTTTCTATTTGATCAAAGTACTAACTAAAATATTTTCTTTTCAGAAAAAGAGAAGCTAATAAGACAACTAAAAATATTTAAAAAAAACCACAAATGGACAAGTTTTATTAAAGTCTTATCTTTTAATTAATTTAAGTGCTATATTATGTACCTGAAAATGAATTTGATAATGGGGAATGAAGCATTTTATGAATAATGTAAAAAATAAGACAAGTGGAGTATGAAATAATGGTTGGTTTGATTTGAGTAACATTACCTCATGAACAGGAAACAGTAACTGAAACTATGTTCTTCCACATTTAATCTTAATAAGGTCAGCAGTTTGAATATTAATGAGATATTATTATAAACAAACTGCATTTGTAGATTTTGGGAAGAATTATATCTTTACAATAACTATTATTATTTACAATCACCCAGGATGTATTCATAGTAACTGTAGGTATCATAGTAATTTTATGAAATCATCACAACATCTAACGTTAGGTTTTATGAATTGAAATTTTTTTTGTATATAACAGCACACAAACAAGATATTGACATTGGTGCAAATTAACACTTACATTTATTAGTTAATTATCTACATATATAAATATGAATACATCTACATTAGGTAGTAATGCATTGAATTTGGTGCACCTGTGTGTGTACAGTAGTAATGTCTGTATTGTTTAATAAGTTGTTACATATGCTTATTTTTCTATGTAGACTGCATTATGGTAAGAAAGATATTTGGTGCCTTATTTTAATAAAAAATAACCATAACTGTAGCATTTTTATTTTGATACCTGTTTGTTTAATATTCCTAACTATTAGTAGGTACGGGTCATTCATATATGCATTATCTGTATATTCTTGTAAAATAAACTAATATTGTTAACCACTTTAATGGCTTTTCCTACTAAAGAAGACATAGGTAAATTACCAAAAATAAAACTGACAAATACATAACATACAATGTTTATTCATTTCTTACTTTAACAGATTTTGCATTTACATATTAACTAGTAGCAAATCACTGATATAACCAAAAGCTAATTGACATAAATATTAACTTAAAATCAGCGTCAAACTTAAATTTATATCTAAGATGTTGGAGCATCAATATGGAATCAAAGGTTGATTAAGGGTTATAATTTCATACCAGACTAAGTTTCTATTTTATAATTTTTATTAATCCCTCTTTTCATTTCATTGAGTACTTGCTGATTTTCAATTCTCACTTTCTAAAAGTATAAATTTATTATAAACAATCAACCTTTATGACTCTTAACTTAAACTGATATTGTTTGTTGGACATAAACAGAGATAATTCCAACTAGTAGCAAATCACTAATAAAATCTACACTTATATATAAATCTGCTTTCAAATTGACATTAAAAATGTTCAAGCACAAACACCAAACCTAATTAAAGCTTAAATCAAACTCTAATTTCAGTGTTCACACTAGTCTACGTTTTTTTCTATTGTTTTTTAATTCATTGGACTTTATCAACTTCTAGTCAACCTTATTTTCACTCTTTATTTATCAATCCACAGTACTATTTCTATTGTTTCTTCTAAGCGGTAACAAAATCTGTTGCTTCTTCCTTTTGCAGATTAGTTGTGAGGTCAAATCCTAAAAATATCAAAGTATGAGTACTACTAATTATTATATATCACGATTATGCAATTTCAAAATATTGTATTTTTTGTAACCTTAAATTTCTGAGAAAACATGAAACAAACCATAATTAATTTAAACATTCAATTAAAATTCATATATTCACTTTGCACCTTTCGTAAATTCCACTTAAATCGAAAATTGTTCCGACCTTGCTGACATTCTAATGTCCGTTTTGCAGCTTCCAATTGCAAAGTTACAATAATATTGTAAAATTTTTAACTTTTATTTGTTTATAAAAGTGACATTAGGAATACGTTTAATCCAGAGACAATATGACGGAATAAGGTGCTACGAACAGCAGCTCGCTTCTACGCTGTCGACTTTGCGGTAATGTATCGACATGCCTCTTGGCTACGAACGAAGCGTTTTCGACAATACAATTACGCAAAAGCGGTAGTGTATGTAGAATACTTTTCGACACCAATATGGCTAGACCCCCAGCAGAGTACGCTAAGTCAGTGTTGAAAAAAAAATGTTCTGAATAGAGTTAGCAACCTCATTAATGTATAAATAATGTAGTTAACAATAATAATTGGTTGAAAACTTTTTACGCTTATTTTAATAATCAAATTATTTCATTAACATTTTTTTACTGAAATAAGAGAAAACCTTTAAAGAATATAAGGTTTTAACAAGCTAAATTAACAGTAAAATATATAGTTTCATGTAAGAAGTTTACATCATTTACGTTTTGAGTAATTTTTTTAAAATGATTTCTAAAAAAATTATATACTTTTTCAAAACCATTGCAATGTTTACAAAAGTATAATCCTGTAAAATAAATTTGTTTACAGATCCGATTTTTAAATAAAATTGTATTCTTATTTTAAATGTGGAATATAAAAAAAGTAACTATTTATACCTTCATCCATACTTATATTAACCACAGCGGTTTTCTAATGTAACATATTATGATTGTATTATATTATTTTGTAAAATAAAGGAATAAACAAAAAAAAATTTTTTTTTTTTAGCAGTTTGAAATAACTTTAATTATTTTCAAAATCTACGACGAAACGAAAGCCTTAAAAATTTTTCAACAATAAATAATATTTACTAACGAAAATTTCGATAAATGCCACCTTAAAGAAAAACACTGGTCAATTTTCTGTCACTGTGTTGGTATTTATTGCGAGAAGCACGCGAGAGCATTCGTTTTGAGAGTGCTCAATTGTGCGAAGCGTTGCTGTAGTTGGAACATTCAACGTTGAGCATTATGCCGCATAATGCGCTCTAGTGCTGTAATTGGAAAACGCATTATGTTACTTTAACAAGGGCATCAAGTTGAAGATTTTTAGCCACTTTTAGAACCTTTTAATAATGGTCCAGCCCTTTTTGCTAACGAAATTTTGGATTCGAAACAATAGTGGTTTGGATTTGTACGCAAGAAGCACGAAATAGATTGCGATGGCGAAATATATTTGAAGAGAATAAGGCCCACAAGGAACCCGAAAGGATATCTATTCCTATACCTTAAAAAATCTAAAATTGTTTGATCGAGAAGTAGTGTCTTTTTTTCTTTCAATTGTGTGTATGTGTTATACATATGATAATGATTAATGACACGCAGTAGTATTAGTATTAGTTGCATGCAACACCTCTCATTAGGTGAGTTTTTTCTTTAGGTTTTGTATCTTCAATGATTTTTATCATGCTAGATTGGTAGCACATGAATTTACAACCGTCTGACTCACATGTATCCGGTATCAGGTCATGTAATAATTTAAAAAAAAGAATTAGAAGTCTATAAAACTTTTGGCGGTTACTTGATCATTGATGGCAACATTAAAAAAATAAAAATGTCACCACGTCTCAAAATATCAAAATATGTGATTGAGGTAATAATTTAAAATTAAAATATATTTTACTTTATTTGGCTTGAAATTCTGTAACAATATTAAATATAATAAGATAAAAAATATCAGTTTAAATTTATAACACATAATTATTTGAAAAATCTAAATTATATTACACTACGTCATCTTCATATGTAAACGCAGATGAGATACTTGTTAGCTGTAATTTTTTTTTGATAGTATTTAACCAGTGTGATTTCAGAGGTTGTTAAAGACTGAAACATATGAGACTACAGGATGTTTGTACGGTCTCATGTACGATGGAACTTTGCTTGTCATTGGGTTCAGTTTAGAATATTTTGAAAATGAGAAGAAAACATACAGTCAACTACTTCTGAATCTACCTGCTGAGGTTGAGCTTTGTGGTGTAGTAAAATTTTGTGATACAACAACTTTAGATTCCAAACCTAAAGAAATTCTTCAAGTAAGTAACATTTAAGACTGTTATTATGCATTTCAACATTTGTTTCCAATAAAAATTCATATGTTTTAATTACAGGATGTTGATATAACAGATAATCCATTGTTTTTAATAATTGATAAGGATAAGGAAATAAAAGCTCATTTTTTGATTCATGAGAAGTTTGAGGAAACAAGTTATGATGTATTTGAAAATGAAGATATCTGGAAACAATTTTTACATATCCGATTAAATACAATACTTCCATTGTCATGTGAAGCTACTCTATTTGGTGTCAAAAATGTACTTCAAAGTAAAAGGAAAAAGGTATTTTTTAAATTATATGTTTGTACAAATCATAGCTGGTCAATTATCATCACTTATTTAAGTTGAAATTTGCTTAAAAAGATTGAAAAAATTAATGTATGTGTGTATGAGACACATTTTTTTTTTTTTATAATTCCAAAAATCAATATTATTTCATAAATTATATGTTTGATATTTATTGATGTACCATTGCTTTAATATACTTGACTTAATTTCAGATAGCTTCAGGACAGGTATCATTTCAAATAAATGACAGTACCGTATATCTGTTTGGTATTGCATCTGGTGTAGGAGTAACTGGCACAAGTACTGAGGCAAATATAGGGGATCTTGTGGATTCATGGAACCCAGAACAAATGTCAAAAAAGAAGAAATACAACATAAATAATGTTGTAAGTTTTTATTTTCTAAGTCATAACAAGTTATGTGTTCTTATGGTACTTTGTCAAATGTCTTAGTAGGTACCCAAATTCCTTCCGTTCTGTGCCCTTGATTTGAGAAGTGGCAGTAAATGTAAAATTAGAAGCATTTAATGTATATTTCTTTTTTTGACATTCATATGTGTACATTGTGTTACCTGTATCAATAAATGATTTTGATTTGATTTGACACAACTTTGAATACCAGTGGGACGATAATTATGTCAGCTTGACATATCACCTTGGCTCTGAAGGAAAACTTACTATAAAACAGACACCAAAATGCGTCTACCTCATATGCCCTTGAAGGGTTATGGCACTACAGCCATAAGACATTTGAAGCAAGGTTGTAGCATTATATTTAGGCTAATTATAACTAAGCTCTATTTGAGCTTATAATAAGATCTTGAGGGTGCGATTGTAAAACAAAATATTGCTTCTGTCCAATAATAGAAACAATACATTGTACTTTTTACCCATGACAAACTAGTTCATAATTTAATTTGTTCTAATGTAAATATTGGATTTTTTAGGAACCAGTATCCGTTAACTTAGTAATGAAAGCAACAAAGGATATGTTATCAGATAAGCTTGTGAAAACTGCTGTTAAAATGATGACGACACAAAGGAAACGTAAGTCTTAAGTAGCATTTTAAAGTGCATTTGCATCACGTACCCATTTAATTTTGGTTTAATTATTAATATTAGACACATTAATATGGCTTCAAAGAAGTGGTTTTATGTTCTACATGTATAAATGTGATATGGATTATGTTTAAGACAATGATCTATTGTGGCTTCCAAGTACATGTGTTAACTTTCCATAAATTTCCCGAAAAATATAAAGTTTGTAACTTGTAGGAATTTGCATTAATGGTGGTTCAGTAGTTGATAAGATGTGGGCTATATGCAAATGAAAGCCAAGACTGCTGAATAATTATTAATATACTGGCGGACCCAACCGATGTTGTCCTGTACTCATGTCTTAAATACAAAAAAAAACAGCTATTAAATTTTTTTTATTAAAACAGTAGGCACTCAATAATACATGTAAATCATTCTCGAGTCTATTTGAATACACAAAAAATTTCATCAAAATAGATACAGCCGTTTAGTAGTTTAATTACAAAATTACACAATCACAGAAGATTTATATTCACATTTGACATTGACATTCCATACATCTCACTTTTTTCAATTGCTTTATGTGACAAAAACTAAGTTTTGTTTATATTGTTTTGTGAATTAATTAATATATTTTTCCTTTGCAGCTGCATTTTGTATAAGTATGCCGCTAAGAGTAGATACAATAGCAATGGTTCATCGAAACACAAAATTATCAGAGTTATACAGTATACTTGTTGAAGCAACATGCAGATCACTCAAGTTACTTGAAAGCGTTCTTATAGAGCAGTTGGGTAATTATTATTTTTTTTAATTTTTAATCATTTTATCTGTTCTTGTCTTTTGTTGTTGCAGTAGGTAAACATAGAATTGTCAATAATAATATGTTAAGTATACGGTTCTTAGGCACTCATTCTAGAAGACTTTTTTAGTGCTGTCCAGTATTTTTTCTATTTGAGATAGTCGTGACATTTGACAGTGCTCAAATGTAATCTCGATTTCTTGATACTTTATATTTATATATATGTATATGTATATTTTTTACATTTAATATATTTATATATTCACAAAACAGATTTGGGAGCGTTCAAGTATTACGTCACGCGATTTTTGGAGATTATCGCTATTGGTTTTTTTAAAATAAAATATTATTGAGAGTAATCTGTATAAAACATAGATTTAATGAATAAATTAAGTTGTAACTTATCAGTAATTCATAAAAAAAACTATATAATTTTTCCTCTGCCTCATGCCAGAAAATAATCAGGATAAGTGGAACCAACTATGATGTAGCATATTTGTATATAATGTCTTCACGTGTCTTATCCTAATTCTGGCTTGGAGTTTAATTTCGTCCGAGAATATTTAAAATCGAAATATAATTTATTTCCATAATTCAACAAGGATCGCAGAATGTGCTTAACTCTTTAAAAAAAAACTTGACGTATTAAATGCATGATACGTCACATGGACTGGTGCGACGTCTTATGAACCTCACTTAATCATATTTCAGGGCAAGAGGGCATTGGTGATGGGGCAGGTTTGAGACTGCCGGAGACGTTCCACTATTTATCACCAGAAATTGGCCATTTCATCACTCGGGTAGTTCCTAAAGGAATACCTGATGAGAGCATGGGTATGTTAAGCTTTTTGATAATTATTAGTACAAATAATTTTATTGAACTGTCAAAGTCAACAATAACAGATTTATAATGTTTAAATAAACGCAGTATTAAAAAAATGTTGTCATCAAGGAGGTTAGAATTGTTTTTTTGTAAGAAACGCGCCTTGTCTATGGTATATTTAATCTGTGGTAGCGCGCTTTTTATCTTACGTCAGTCATATTTTGGCGCCATTACTAGTATAATATATTATATAACTCCGTGAAAAAAAAATAGTTTCAATTATATTGTTAATTAGTTATGTTAACGAAAATAAACGACTAAATTATTTAATATATATCGATAATACATTGTGCAGATAACATACATATTGCGCATAGTTTAATAAGAAACTTGTTTTGCTTAATTTTAATCCTACTTTCGTAGAAAAAGAAAGAATAGCGCTACACGAACAGTTGGATTTACCACTTACTCGACCAATGTTTAGGCGAGGGAACGCATACATATTCAATAGCCCTAAACTAATCAACCCACACGAAGGTATCGCACCACAGAATCGAGGAAAAATTGCTACCGTTCGCGGGAAATACCTGTATTGCCATTATATGCAGGATAATTTCAATGATGATGGATGGGGCTGTGCTTATCGTTCTATGCAGACCATATTCTCTTGGTTTAAGTGAGTATACATTGTGTTGCGTAAACAGGGATTTCTGGCGATTTTTTTTTTTTCATTGCTTACACAACCAATACAATGACAGTTCCGTGTTCCTATATTATTATCAAATTAACTTCCAAAATAATTTAAAAGTCCATACTTTTTCTCATGAAAACCCCAAATATAGTCAAAAATTTCTATTATTACTATAAATTTATACCCAAAAAAAATCTTTTTCTGAAAAATCATAGAGTAAAGTTATGGGCAAAAAACTTTTTTTTTTTTTTTGAAGTGTCGTATAATATATTTATATCCGCAGGTATCAAGGATACAATACTCTAGATGTGCCAACTCACAAAGAAATCCAGCAGTGCCTTGTCAAAATAGGGGATAAGCCATCCTCCTTTGTGGGTTCTAAGCAATGGATTGGCTCCACCGAGGTCATGTTTTGTCTGGACACACTCATTGGAGTACAATCGAGAATTATTTTTGCAAATACTGGGTCTGAACTGCTTACTTACACCCCGGAGTTGATTCATCATTTCCAGCAACATGGCAGTCCAATTATGATAGGTGAGACAAATTTTAATATAAAAAAATACAACACTATAGAAAAGTATTTTAGGGAGAGATTTCGAAAAGACACTTAGCATATTATGACTCCTGTCAAATTCCAATGTTTTTGACATACAGGATTGACAGCAAGTCTAATTTCTAAATGGTCACCCTTAAAATTTCATTAATATAGGTATTTTTTTCTTCTAAAATAAATTTTTAAACTGCAAGAGTAGTTTGCACACGATTTTATAACTTGTTCATACTATGGAGATTTTTTCTGCATTTAATAAAGCGAATCCATCTATGACTTTAGATCTTTTCAAACCTAGAATTTTTCAAGTCTTCATCAAATTTTATTTTGTCTATATTTGATAGTTCCTAATGTTTTTTTAGGTGGAGGTGTCTTAGCCCATACGATTATAGGTGTAGAATATAATGAAGAGAAAAACGAGACTCGCTATTTGATCTTAGACCCGCATTACACAGGCGCTGATGACCTCCAAACCGTCTTAAGCAAAGGCTGGTGCGGGTGGAAGACATCAGATTTTTGGAACAAAACCGCACATTATAACCTATGTCTCCCACAGACTAAACCTTGTGTATAAGTGTCGCCATAAACGATAATGTTGCTATTAAATGACAATGTTGGTATTAAATGGCAATGTTGGTATTAAATGGCAATGTTGCTATTAAATGAAAATGTTGCTATTAAATGGAAATGTTGCTATTAAATGGCAATGTTGCTATTAAATGGAAATGTTGCTATTAAATGGCAATGTTGCTATTAAATGGAAATGTTGCTATTAAATGGCAATGTTGCTATTAAATGGAAATGTTGCTATTAAATGGCAATGTTGCTATTAAATGGAAATGTTGCTATTAAATGGAAATGTTGCTATTAAATGGAAATGTTGCTATTAAATGCAATTGCTATTAAATGGAAATGTTGCTATTAAATGGCAATGTTGCTATTAAATGACAATTTTGAAATAGTATCAATATTAATGTTGAAATCGCCTGCATTTTTAACACCTTTCAAGGAAAATAAACCAGCAAATATAACAGAATCATTTATTTTCCAATGTTAATTAACCGAAATTATATATTGCGTTTAATCTTGTATTTAAATTGATATTTAATTATTTTACAAATACATTTCCAAGGCATTTAAATTTCATGTGATATTTTTTTTTTTGGAGTAGCTATATTTGCATGTATCATCATCGGGGAAAAAACAGCGCTACAACGGTAATCCTCGAACAATAGTTACGAGTAATAGAATAAAAATATATTTTTGTATGAAAAACTTTGGCGCCCCGTGGGCGTATTTGAAATTGACCTGCGTAGTACGTATTAGACAAAATTTATTCAAACATTGTAGCATACATCTGGAATGGGAAGTATTTAAGAAGATATGGTAAATTTATTGGTTAGTGGTGTCATAAACAGACTATATAGAAAGACATCCTTTTGGAATAACGTAATAGGTGCAGTGGTCTAATGTTTTTAGAGTGTAAAACAGCTGTCTCATTCGTGTTTAAGTGATGTGTCAACTTTCTAGCGAATTTTAAAACTATCGTGATAAGTAGCGACCCATAGTTACGTAAAGTTTACTATACTTGAGACAAAATCTGTTTTAACGACATCGAAGGTACTACCTACTCATATTTGGTCGCAAAAACCGATAGTCGTAACAGCCTAGTAAGAATCTAATATGTACAACAGAATTCAGACGGGACCTTTAATTTTGGTCAATATAACCGTACGTTGTTCTAAACGATGTCGTCGTAAACGGTTTTCACTATATTACTATTTGTAAGGGGACGTCATGTTAACAAATTCGCCCATTCGCCATGTTCAAGTTCTCCATACTAATATATTACTATGCTATAAAACAATTTAGATATTATTTATGCTTAGGGGTCAAATTTAAAACAGTATTCGATTTAGTTTCACAAACCGTCAAATTGATGACGTTTGACGTTGACAAAAACAAGACTGTCTTTAAATATTGGGGAACGATTCAGAGACGAGAATTAACGCTAATTGCGTAATCCCGTAAGTCAAAAATGTAGTGGAATTTGATTTACGGAAGTTATAGTCACGCTAAGCCCGGTTTTTTAATTCTCAACCATTGTGTACGGCCATCCTTTGAAAACCTTGGGTGAAAGGACTTTGATATAAATTGCATATATAATCATCTATCCTTTACCTTATATCCAATATATATTTAATTTATATCTGGAAAACTCTAAACCTGAATCATTTTAACAGTGTATAACCATCCATTGTCTACGCCATCACATTAGAACAGAAAGCTGTTTTTCAATGCCTTTCAAAAATTTCGTTGGCCAATGTTTTATTAATGACTCAAGTTTGTAAGTTTAATTCATTTATTATTTTTATATGAAATAAATTATTACTTGGATATTTTGTTTTATTTTATTATTTTTAGACAGGGTTAGAGAGGTGGCATAAATACATTCACCAAACGTACAACCATTTCTGCATCATTTTGGAAATCACATTTTTGAAGTTATACTTCTTTAGGCGCGTTATGAAAAATTTATGAGAGTGAAATTTTACGATGCGCGCGCACCGTGACACAAAATTATCAGTATGGGCGCAGAGCGTGCGCGAGCGAGATGGGATTCATAAGACAATCTATAAGTAAAAAGAAATAGAATATGCGTGACGTTAGCAGCTATGCCAAGAATTTTGAATGACCATAATGACATTTGTTTTAATTATTTTTTCAAAGAAATTTAGCAATGCTTTTTACAAAGACCTATTGTTACTTAGTTAAAAGGTTATGAAACATACCTAGTTATTAAATTGAATTAATAATATAATAAAATAATAATTAATATTAATTAATAATTGAATAATACTAAATATTAAATATTGTTAAATTATTAACCCTAAATATTAATTATTTAATATTTTAAAAAAATAAAGAAAGCCAAAGAAGTATAACTTCTTACGCGCGTACATAAGTACACGCACCATTTTTTTAAATTTGTTTATATATATATATATAGGGTGGTAAAATACCGCACCCAAGAGGGCCCCTGCCCAAGAAGAGATATTATGTTCTATAGATGAATGTGAAGTCTCGGAAGGGCTAGCGTGGGGACTACAGACCACGCCTAAGGCCAGTGGGACACATACAAGGTGTAATTGAGTACGCTGAAAATCTCGAAGTTTATTAAAATTAAACTGAGTACAATGTGACGATTGTATGATATTTTATGATCGCCCCATCAAAAGAATTTGCCACGGGCCCCAGGTGGTATAGTTACGCCACTGTCGCTGATGTTAGTTTCCGACTCGGGCTGTAGAAGAAAGCATAAAAATGATTCGAAACCAGTAAGTAAAGATTTTAAATAAAACAACAACTGGTACACTTATAAAATGCTGAGAATAATAAAAAAGCGTAAACTTAACCCCTATTTATTTGATATAGTTGCTTTAGCATAATCACTGATAAGAATAAGATAAGATTGGCTGAAGTCTGAGTCAAATATTTGTATGAAAAATGTGAGTGCCAGTACCAGGCGTGCTCTTAATACTTTATGCAGACATTGGAGTCTTAGAAAATATTAACTTAAAATTACTTTGATCGAAAACTTTACACATAACATTCAGGCACAGAACTTATGGTAAAAAGGATCTAGAAAAATTAAAACCAATATAATCTGTGACAGATTTATTTACATAATAGTAATTACAGTTCGCATAAATTAAATTGTAAAGTTATACTTATCAATAAAGCATTTACATCACAGAAAATATTACAGCTAATTCATGGTGTCAATTCAAAATGATATAATCTTGTTTCACTCGCTAGAATATAATTAACGACATTTCTAATCATACTGACGTTTTGGAATACCACAGATCCTAAAAAGGAATAGAGCTTATATTGTTAACAGTGGCTGTCGTAAGAAAAAAATAATTCGTGATATTTGCTGTAATAATTTTAATAAAACTTTGAATTAAGTTCAAGTAACTATTAGTCATTCGAGTTTTCTCTTTCCTGGTTCTAAAAACCTGTAAATTGTAATTTAGGAATTTTAACTCTTGACCTTTGATGTTTTTGTTGTTTATTTTTAAACCTTATGAACGCTTAAGGATTTTTTAAAATTATATATAGACGAGGCACTTATCTCGTGTTTTTGACCAACATAATACACAAATATTTATACTCTATGCATAAAATTCTTATTAAACATTCCAAAGAGACTTAACATATAAATAAATAAATATAATAGTGAAACATTAACATAAATACGCGAGATTTTTGACGCCCATTCCTCTTTCTTTTGTCGTATTCATCACGTCAATCTACAACAGAAGGCTTTCATAAACTAATTATTCAAAATAGTTGATTGATGAATGTTTAGTTTAAAACAAATAAATGTAAAGTTTATCAGATTATATTACAATTGATATCATTGATAAGCTTTGAATTTTTCGTGTTCTTCTCGTCCGTTCCCTTTTGATATGAGAATGGCGGAAAATTCAAATTTAGAAGCATTTCTGACATTGACATTATGTTATCTGAATGAATGATTTTTTTTTCATGTTAAGGGCACAGATAACAAAACTGAAATACATGACGTTTTTTAAAAACGCGCATAATTTGAAAATAGATATTAGAAATTAATAATTGTTCTAATTTTCAGCAGTGACCTATAAATTATAAGCCATTATAAGTTCAAACCTCTAGAGAATTTCCAAATCGCAGTGTCGTATTTGAGGAAACTTTTTCTGAAAAAAAAAAATTATACGAAATTAAATTTTGTAAATATACAACATACTATATTATATATACGTATACTTTTAGCGTCATATTGAGATTTGAGACTCGAAATAATGGAAATTTATGAAGTAAAATTTGATACAAAAAGTGACAATCTGTGAATTTCTCAAGACAATATGGAGCTCAATTCTCAGTCTGAGCATATAACAAAAGTTATCTATAAACACTCAAATAAATATGTCTTGCCTATTGCGATAAAACTTTTTACTATATTATAAATACACAACTTTTAATCAAATTCTGTTCAGGTAAACAATTCGTTCAGATAGATGGCGCTGTATTATATTACTCACCCGTAACTTCAATTCTATCCTATCAATCTCTCCCCCCAACATGTCAACTATGTTCTCCCCGTGCTTCAGAAGGAAAGCTTCGACATCATCTATTGTATGAATTTTATTCATATCCTGAAAGAAGGTCGTATATTATTTACTATTTATTTTAGTTATTCTAAACATTTTTTTTTTTAAGGCAAGCACGAATTATAAAAATCTTATACTTGACGCTGGCTAATGCACAAATCGTGCCAGAGCCATAAAGGAAAAAAAAAACATTTTTTATGAAACATTCTTAACAATCTTGCTACAAGTGCGCATGTGCAATAGTTACTCATTTGACTCGTTCGGTTGTATACAATTTGACTCGAACAACAGCCCGAAATGGGATGGTCTGGTCGGAGTAGGGAATAGATTATAAAAGAGGTTGTATCACATGCGCACGGGCAATTCCTTTGTTCAAGTTTGAAGTTATAGAGTTTACGTAAAATCAGTGTGTGAATTATAGTGAATCAAGTCATCATTGGAGTGTTTAATTTCCTACCCTAAGAACTAGATCAACAAGCCCTTACATTATAGTTGAAATTTACTTGGTATAATTTTTTAAGGTTTCACGAAAACACAATTTATAATATAAATAAATTGGTTGTCGCGTCACGAGACACGAAAAATAACTATTTATATTATATTCCACAAGAGCCATTGCAGAATTTTCTTCCCTTAAATATAACCTATGTCCTTTATTTAATTCCCCTTCAACTTACCTCTAACAATGCATTCAGATCGTGTTTCTCCAAATAAGATCGCGTGAGGGCTCTACCGTCAAAGTCGACTTCTGCCTGAAAGATATTTTAAATTAAAATATTTATAGAAAATCATTAGCAGTGGAAGAGCGGTGTTTGCCTAGTGGCTTCAGCGTGCGAATCTCATTCCTGAGGGCGTAGGTTTGATGACTGTGCACCAATGGATTTTCTGTCTATGTGCGCATTTAATATTCGCTGGAACGGTGAAGGAAAATACCGTGAGGAAATCTTGCCTTAGACCTAAAACGGCGTGTGTCAGGCACAGGAGGCTGAACACCAACTCGCCTATTATAAAAGATTTGGTTTCTATTCATAGAAAATCGTTATTAAAAAAAACTTCTGTGTGTTCATAATTGTATCTTTAGATATGTTTAAACAAAAGTAATTCCAGACAATTAAATGAGTTTCATCATCGGACGTCGAGACAAAATACTAAATACCATCCGTATCACCTCGACGTCCGTCGTTCCACAACTTAGCGTTTTTAAAAGGGAGTTTTTGCCGCGAAAGGCCTTTACGGCCTATCGTAAAACTTAAATTTAGTTGCAGCTATAATTTTTTTCTGTATGGCGTTTGACATATTTGACAGCGCCCCGATGGTTGTGACATTTGTCTTAGAATATGGACCTAATGAACCTTCATTCATGACTATTGCGTCAAGCATAAAAGCCCGTCGTAAAACTTACATCTAGTTAAAACTAGAAAATGATCCCTAAAAGAGCTGCCATTTTTCTGCATGACGTTTGACATATTTGACAGCACCCTGGTGATTATGACATTTGACTTAGAATATGGACGTAAGTAATATTACCTTGTATCTAATAAGATTGCTGCCAATGTCGATCCCTTGACATCGTGAATGGCTCGGATCATGAAATCTCTCTCTAACACGCTATTAATCTCATCCAGTTGCTCTTGGCGGATTGATCTATGTAGTATTATCTTAAGTTACTTCAAACAACTGGCTGATTATTAAGTAAATAAATTTTAACATATAAATATATAAAAAACTGTACCGTAATATATTATTAATCATATATTTTATACCTATTTACATATTAGGTCCTTACATATGAAATTGGCGTATTTCGTACTGGCAACTTTAATCACGATTTCTCCTCTTTGGTGAGGAATTCCAAATTCAAATTTTTTACAGCTTTACTCATTTTTGTGCTTGATTGATTGTGTCATTCATTTGTTTTTTTCTGTTTGCGTCACTCATTTACAAAATGGAAAACTTAAAGTATCGCATTATTTACGAGTCCGCCGTGGCACTAGTGCTGCGGGGAGGGCGGAACGACGACTCGAAGGGTAAATGATGTGTATGGCGGTCATGTTGCAAAAAGGGGAGAAAACACAGTTCGTTTTTGGTTCCAACGTCTGGAAAATTTCGACCTGCAAACAAGCCCCGCGGACGGCCTAGACCCAAGTTGATAATGAAGATTGAAGGCTATTGTGGAAGCGGATCCATCGCAAACCACGTCCGAGTTAGCTTCAGGCTGCGGTGTTAGTGTTAAAACTGTTTTAATTCACTTGAAGCAAATTGGGAAGATTTAAAAGCTTGAAAGATGGGTACCTCACGAATTGACTGAAGCAAACCGGCAAACGCGCGTCGACTGCTCGTTACATTACTGAACCGGCACAATAATGAAGGTATTTTAAACCGAATCATTACCTGTGATGAAAATGGATTCTTTACGATAATCAAGCCAATGGTTGGATCCTGCCCCAAATCCTGCCCCAAGCGAAAATTAACCCCACAAAAAGTTACTTGTAAGCGTTTGGTGGACTAGTGCCGGTATTGTTCATTGCAGTTTTCCCCTCAAATCTGGCCAGCCTATTACGGCTGTGTCTATTGTCAGCAATTGCAAACCATGACGGAAAAGCTAGCGGCTAAACAACCTAGGCTGGGCAATCGCTCCACGCCACTCTACTTCCGACAACGCTAGACCACACACTCACAACAACGCTACCAAATTAGAAGAGCTTCAATTGGAATGTCTAAGACATCCTCCGTACCCCCCGGACCTTGCTCCAAAAGATTACCATTTTTTCGAAATTTGGACAACTTCTTGCAAGGGAAAAAATTTAACTCTGATGGGGCAGTCCAAATCGCCTTCACAGATTTTATTGATTCCCGTCCGACTGGTTTTTTTAGTAAAGGGATCAATGAACTACCTATGAGATGGCAAAAGTGCATAGAAAACAATGGTTCATACTTTGATTAATTAAATATATTATATTAAAAAATATTCGACTTTTTGTTCCTCCCATACAAAACGCCAATTTCATATGTAAGGACCTAATATATTTTGCCGCGCACCACCACTAATCACTATGTGACACAGAACAAGGGGGTTATCAAGTCATGTATATGTGATATTATTAGAATTTATGTATGATGATCCATTTAGGGGAGCGCTAAGTATTACGTCACGCAATTTTGGGAGATTATTGACCCCCCATGCGTAACGCTTTTCTGTGCCCAAGTATAGTAAAACGTTTCGTGACCACCTAGTGACTCTTTATACCTTAAAGTTACCATTATGTGTTGTAAAAGTACTGGAAAGTCGAAAATAATATTAACAAAACCGCGTAATTCAATCCCCGCCCGCATAACGTTTTATAAAAGGAACCCTAAAAAATTCGTTACGTAAAACTTGAACGCTCCCTTAGACGTCAAACATGCAACTCGTATGTGTGTAGGCGCATTTATAAATATATGTCATATCGAAATGATAACTATCAAATTTACATGAAAATTGCTTCAGTATTTTTTGAGATATTGAGATTTGTGCGGTATCGATAAAAAAAATATTTCAGTTAATAAGTATTTAAAGTAATTTTTTTTAAAATAAAAACATATAAAAACTCACCTCCCAATCAAAGCACCAACATTACTCAAAATGATAAATGAGGCAACACCACCCAACAGTGTGCCCACAAGCAACGAGCCGATGGCATCTGGCAAAGGGTTGCCAGTATACTGCGATATTGCCATACAACTACCAGCTACTATTACACCCGCTACTGCAGCGGTATCCTCGAATAATACCACATTTACGGACGGATCTGAGCTTCGCATCACTGAAAAATTACAAACAATTTACAAAACGTCATAGAAAGTCGTAAAAAATGTCAAAGAAAGTAGTGAAAATGTCAAAGAAAGTAGTGAAAATGTCAAAGAAAGTAGTGAAAAATGTCAAAGAAAGTAGTAATAAATATCAAAGAAAGCAGTGAAAATGTCAAAGAAAGTAGTAAAAAATATCAACCAAGTCGTAAAAAAATGTCAAAGAAAGTCATGAAAAACGTCTTTTAATATACTTATCCTGCTCAATTTTAACAGTTTTGACTGAATTTTTTAAAAGGTGAGTAGGTGAAATCAGCCTTTTGTGGGTTGACACATGTCGACTGTTTCGGTCTAACGGACGGTTTCCTGACATTATTTCCTTCACCGTATCAGTGTTATATGCGTACATTGAAAGTCCAAGCACAGCCATGATTCGAACGGATGACCTCAGAGATGAGAGTAGCACGAAGCCACTAAGTCGGCCAAGCGTTGCTGTGGCTAAGATTTTTGTTAAATTACATAGTAGTAAACTATTCAAGAGAAACGGCAAGAGAACACCAATCCACTAAGCTTTTTTGGTGGTTATGCCATTAAATTATAGCTTATGTGAAACGTTGGTATTTATTTTGATAAGGATCAATACCTAGGTAATAAAGAGCCTTTTCTAGCGGTGGTATATTACTAAAAAAATAATAATAAAAGGGCGCTTATTGTGACGTAACTATAAAAGATAGAGACATGCTGCCGCGACATTTTTTATAGATAGTGATGTGTCCTGAAAAATTGTAATACATTATTTTGTTCTATCATTAATAATTTTCGCAGCGCACTCGATTGAAGGAAGTTTTTTGTTTATTTTTTTACACCTTGGGTTAGATTATTCAAGTTTTAGTAAGCATCCCTATTTTTTTGAAAATGAAAAATTGCCTATGTCACTCGGGAATAGTGTAGCTTGCCAACGGTGAAATAATTTTTGAAATCGGTCCAGTAGTTTCGGAGCATATTCATTTCAAACAAACAAAAAATCAAATCTTTCCTCTTTATAATATTAGTATAGAAAACTAATATAAAACATTTACAGTACGTAAACAAGCCAATATATTTTTCATATTTCAATGAAATACTATCTAGTACTAATAGATTATCATAAACCAAAGGACTATAGGATCGTGAATAATATAAGGTTATAAAATCATACAAAATATACCATACCATAATCATACAATGACATGTTAGCTTCTTTTGCTCCCTTTCTAATCGCACTCAAAGCTACCATTAGAGTGGCGCCCTCTGAGACGACGGCTCCGCCCAATACGAAGTATGCCTAAGGAAAAATTGTTCTAGTTATAAACGTCATGACGCAGTCTCTTCTCTTCTCGGAATTACTAGTTCTAACCAAACCCTTTGATCAAGTATTTTCAGTTAAACCTAGACTAAAAATAATTAACTTCAAGTCAAAAATCGAAAGTAATCTGTTCAACAAACAAAATTCAAAATTTTGTAAATGTCATAATACCCATATATAAATAAAGACAATTTTTTTTATTTTAATTATGAAAACATCAAAACAATAGACACTAGACCTAAGACGTTCTAAAGAGTTTCGACGTTTTCATGAACAAATTAGGTTCTGCAAGATTTTACGAATTCTTTAGAGGTCGACATTCATTTGTTTGTGCTATGTTTAAGATTTGAGGATATTCTAGTCAACACAGGAGCGCCGGAGCTTTCGACTAAAATAATAGGAATATTTAAAGTCAAACAATTTGTGTGAACCCAACAATGACATTCATTTTACCATAGTAAATCATAATATCTTAATAATATATATAAATTACGTGTCACGTTGTTTGTCCGCTATGGACTCATAAACTACCGAACCGATATCAATCAAATTTGCACACCGTGTGCAGTTTGATCTAACTTAAAAGATAGGATAGCTTACATCTCAATTTATACCCGCAATATTATATTATTGCAAAATATTTGTTTATTATTTGATAGTCACAATTCTAATAGATGGCGCAGTATACTAATACTTAGAGTATTGTTAGTACCAAATAAAACAAGAAGTTTATGACCTATATATTTATGTACATGTTTATGAGCTATATATGTAGGTAGATCTGAGACTACTGAATTTACACAAAAATTTCATAATCATTGGTCAAGCTGCTCCGGAGGAATTTGACAACACACAACATGACACGAGAGCTTTTCATGTATATATTTATGATGGACCGATATATGTCGCCACATTTGCTCGATGCTGCTGGCTTGCGTGTTATCTATGGAAAAAAACTTACCCAATAAAAATCATGGAGCGGCTGCGGGTCCAATATTCCAGTGACACCATGATAGAAGGAAAGGCCGCAGCCCACACAGAAAATACCAACACCAGAAATCAGGGATGACACATATCTCATGTTGGTGTAGCCGTATGGGTGGTCGGGATCTGCAATCTAAGTATACCAGTAAATTAAAGTCACATTTAAAGGGGCCGTTCAAGTATTACGTAAGCACTATGGGGGGGGTCTTTGATTTTCTTATTTGGTGTTTACGTCATGACAGACATTACACACACATTGTCTATGCTTAAAAACAAAATGCATTTTCGAGGATTCCTACAAAAAATTAATACATTTATGTACTATTATTTTTGAGAGTGTTGCTTACTTTTGCTGACTAGAGGAAAGGGGTGGGGGATAAATTGCATTAAATACGTAATACTTGAACGTCTCAAAAGCTCAAAACATTCTTCGGGTCAAAGAACAACTTGGTCGGGTTATATATAGAGACTAACTAATATATAAACAAATTGTATTATAAACAGTATACGAAAATTACAAACCTGCACAGATTTATGTATTCCATAAGCCAAAATTAATTGATTTACTGTATCTGCAAATGAATGAATGCATTCCGAAAATAAACTATGAGAACCGGTGTACAGCCACGCACAGAGCTTGAAAACAAAATTGCATCCATTGCTGAAAAAAATACAGTTATAGCAAAAAATCTTTCCAGCGCATTTTCATCAAGGTATGTTTATTATGACAATTCACTGTCACATGATGTACAGCCTAGTAAGGCAGAAACATTCCAGTGTGTTATGATATTTGTTATAGAATTGTTAATTTGATCATAAGATAGGTATTATTTAATTACCATAAAATTAAATTACATTATCAAGAAAACTTATATATTGTATGAAGTACATACACTTAAAGCAAAACATGGCTACTAATAATGACATTAAGAAAACTCTTAGGCTATTGGCCTAAAATACCATCTCATAAAACAACATTAATAACGCCATAGTTTTAATGACTTAAGGCAATTTTTTGCAATAATTTTCTAACACAGAAATCCAGATTTCTGTCTTTCTGGCAAAATTTAAAATAAAATGGAATCAGGCTTGAGATATACCTTCATACAAAATTTAGTAATTCAAAAAGTATTCGTACATGGCCACAGCAGTAAGAACAACTCGTCCCGATACTGTTTTCAGTCCCATTTCTTCAACTCCGTGTTTTAAACGTTTGTGTCCCATTTCCCTTCTATAATTTCTTAATCTTCGTTTTACAGTAAAAACATCTACAATTATATATGTTAAATTTATAAGTAAACAAGTAGTTCAATATATCATTAATTTTAATATTTAAAGTAATTCTACCTTGTTCATATCTCCTTCGATCTAGTTCTCTCCTTAACAGTTCTTTTTCCAAACTTTCTTTTGAGGTCCAAACCTATCAAAAAAAATTACAAGTGTAACTGCATCATAAGAAGTTAATAAATAAAGAATTTATATTAAAAACTGGCTTCAACAAAGGCGACGGATATCAACTAAATTTTAAAAAATTGTTATTGTATATGTTTTTTACTTCAATGGCTTTAGCTTCAACATCCTTTCTGTAGTATACAGTTATGGGTGGTTCCGATTCATAAGGAGACCTTCTTAGTACTTTTGGTAATGACTCCAGATCAGATTGTTTCAATAGATATTCAGTCATGGCCCGCATTGGTGTAATAAAATTCCTTTCTGTATATGATGCAGAAAAATCAATAAGAAGCCTTTTCTTAGCTGAAAGATAAAAGGAAATACTGTTATTAATTGTTAAATAATAAAGAAATTTAGGGTGGTCAGAAAAAAGTACCTGGAGGTGCAACTGTCTGAGAGGAAGAACTTGCTGCTTCTTTTGGCTTTTCTATCGTCACTTTTGTTACATTTTTACTCTCATCAGTCTCAGTCTTAACAACTATCTTATCTTTACTTTTAGTAATGATCTCGGACACTTTGAGTGAATTATTTTCTTTGGCTTGTTCTTGATCTTGCGATTTTTTTACTTCACTTTTACAATTATTATACGCAGAAACATGTACGTATCTTATAGTTTTAGTACTGAATCCTATTTTAAAATTAGCTTTGCTACAAATTCGAGATGTGCTTAAATAGAAAGATGTAGTACTCCTTATCTGGAAATATCTACTGCCTACATATCTAGAGAAAACAGCAGTTGCGAATGGGATCATTTTGAGGTTTTTGTATAACTTTTAACTTGTTAAGTCCGAGGAATTACTTTGAATCTATTCGTTAAATATCCTTAGGCAAGCACTTCATAACGGAAAATTATTCTTCTGTATGTGTTTTATACCTTACATCCTACTTATAAATAAAATATTATGATGACCTCTTTATTATTTACTAAATATTCAATCAATTTCTTTTGTTCATTTAACCTAAGCTTCAGCAATATATTGTTTTATTGTCCAAAATAAGCCGTAACTAAATTCACGAATGTATACTTCAATATTTATACTTCAAATTGGCTCTAAGTTCAAACTACTTCAAACCCTATTTTATATTGTAGTCTTTGATCAGCTCGGCATTAGCCACTACTCAATTTGAATTTTGAGTTACTGAGTTATGCCTTGACAAAGTGCGTTTTCCAATTACAGAGCATTTTTCGACTCAGTGCCGCACAATGCCGCATAATGTTGAAGCTTAATTGGAACGTGAATTAGTTTTCAAATGCATCAGCAGAGTGCGCTAAGTCAGTGTTGACAAAAAAATGGTCTGAATAGAGTTAGCAACCTCATTAATGTATAAATAATGTGGTAAACAATAATAATTGGTTGAAAACTTTTTACGCTTAATTTAATAATCAAATTATTTCATTAAATTTTTTTTACTGAAATAAGAGAAAACCTTTAAAGAATATAAGGTTTTAACAAGCTTAATTAACAGTAAAATATTTAGTTTCATGTAAGAAGTTTACATCATTTACGTTTTGAGTAATATTTTTTAATGATTTCTAAAAAAATATATACTTTTTCAAAACCATTGCAATTTTTTCTAAAGTATAATCCTGTAAAGTAAATTTGTTTACAGATCCGAATTTTAAAATAAAATTGTATTCATATTTTAAATGTGGAATATAAAAAAAGTAACTATTTATACCTTCATCCATACTAATATTTATTTTTTTAGCAGTTTGAAATAACTTTAATTATTTTCAAAATCTACGACGAAACGAAAGCCTTACAAATTTTTCAACAATAAATAATATTTACTAACGAAAATTTCGATAAATGCCAACTTAAAGAAAAATACTGGTCAATTTTCTGTCACTGTGTTGGTATTGTTTGCGAGAGCATTCGTTTTGAGAGTGCTCAATTGTGCGAAGCGTTGCTGTAGTTGGAACACTCAACGTTGAGCATTATGCCGCAAAATGCGCTCTAGTGCTGTAATTGGAAAACGCACTTAATGATTAATTTATCTTAACGAAAATATTGACAAAATATTATGGTAGTCGAATGTGGTTGGAATATGATTATTGGATTTATTAGTTATTCGAAAGTCGTGGTTAACACTAGTAGTAGTGGGTAGGTAGAGGTAGTAGTTTTAAGAATAACTGTAATGTTTCACAAAAAACATTATGTTTACCGAATATTGATGTACGGTATAAGTATATATATGTTTACGACTCTACGAATTTTAATGCCATACTTTCTATTTATAGTTACGATTTCAATTAATTTTTTGCAGTATCGACTTTATACATTTTTGTCAATAATTTTTCTTCTGTTAAACACATATACCGTTTGGACATTACCACCATGCTTACCTATTCATGGTGATCTATATTGTTAGATTCCAAGCATACATGAACGTAAAAATATTTACTACAACAATTTTCTACAAGTCAAGCACATGTATAAGCAGCGGCACGTAAGTCTAGCGCTGGCCGATACGTGGAGGGGATTGCTGCGCATGTGTATTGTCGCGCGGGGGACGGAATGCGACTGGAGAGCCAATCGACGCCACGCGCGCCCGCTAGCCCCCCTCAGGTACCTTATTTTTTACTTCTGCGCAATAACGGTCAGCGCTAGAGTTTCGTGCCGCTACTTGTATATGATTAGGTAGTTTGAACGTTGGGAGAAAAAGACAGGAAGCACTAAGCAGCACTTGCACTGGTACCAGCATAGAACTAACAGGTGATGTTCATAGTAAAAGTCTTATGGATGCTTTGACACATCATGTAAAGCAGATTCATGATTTATCAAAGAAATTATTAATATTTAATTATTCATAGAAAATATATTTGATGTTTGGTCTACTATGAAAAATGGCAAGTGGCAACACAAGGTTTCAGGTGGTTAGCAATACTGTATTTTTATTCTATGCGTGTAATAAGTCTCGGATTTTAGAGTATTTACTATTTTATTCTATGGTTTGTAGCGTCATTCAACAAACAATAAAATTTCAGTCGAGGAAAAAGAAGTAAGGACTCACTTAAACCATATTCTAATTTCTAACCTGTTGCAATCGCTAAATATTGAATTTAAAAGTGTTGTTCTGTAAGCTAGGCAATATATAGTGTATTTATCGCAACATAAGTTTTAAAATGCCTGCGAGTAGTATTAACTTTTACCACATGCAAGATGCCAAAAATAATTTTGACGCCATCCGGCCTGCACCCATTTGCAGTGAAGCTAATTATTTTATGGGTCATTGTCGCAACCTTCACATATCAACGAACTGCTATTATGGATATCACAATTCTAGTAATAGATCTGAAACTATCCAAGATACGGAAATGATAGAAATGACCATTGATAATCCATTGAAGAATCCGCCAGTCATTGAAAACAACACAAGAAAGAGGTGTGCTGAAGAAAACGAACATTCGCGCAGTAAACGACAACGGCAGGGTAAGCATTTTAATTCATTCTTGATCTTGAAGCCTGATTGAAATCACCAGTTTAATTTGCTTGTCTTACAATAAAAGACACTTTCAATGTGGCTTCAGTATATATAATTTTTAAAATTTTCAGAGAATGGCTTTAAAAGTTGGGAGGTTATAAATGAAGTCTAATGCATATAGTTGATTTTCAGGTTAACTCTTGTTTTGTTGCTTTCTCTTATTGTTAATTTTATGTATTGTAGTTTAAGCATAGTAATAAGTGAAAAAAAGCCAAGAGTGTTTAGAGCTTTGCGTTCCCAAAATATTAATCTTTAATGTGTCAAGTATTGCTTACATTAATCAATTTTAGTCATAAACAAATGGTTTACTTCTTTATATTAACCCTTTTAGTGCCATACATATTTTACCAAGGTATGGTACAAAGCCAGTAAAAAAGTGCATTTTTATTGATAATTTATATGAACAAGAGAAATATTTACCATTTCCATACAATTTACAATACACCAATATTCATATTGTTTGAAACATTCTCATCAGAAGATTTTATACTATGATAATAAAAACACTAATTGTATACTACATATTTAATGTCATAAGGAGCGCTATTGCGACACTGGCATTTTTCACAACTAGCGAGAGCAGCACGACGGCTCTCCTTGGAAATAAAAGGGTTAATAAAGATTTCATATGTTATTTGTCAATTATGATTGAATTAATTCTATGTTTACAATTATTTTCCCGATTTCAGTACTTTATATCTTATCACAAACTTGTTAAGGTCTTCTGACAGAACAAATGTAAATAATATATTGTAAAAAGTCGAAGCTTCTCAATGTGTATACATTATCATCTAAATAAAAAAATTTAACTTGCATTGAAAAATAATATATAATTAATATTTTTATCATCATAATTGTCATTTTTTTCTAAAATATTATTGACATTTAACATAAAAATTCTGTTTGAGGTCTATCCAAAACAATATAGTATGTAAAAAAATTGTAATACAGTCAAAACCGTTTAACACATTTACCGTTTAGAAAATAACATACTGGTTATATTGTTCATAAGCAAAGGTCCCGGCTGAATTATATTGTAATAGGAACTTAACAACATCATCTGCTGTTATGACTATCGGATTTTATAACCAAATATGAGTAGTCCCTTCGATGTCATTATAACAGATTTTGACTGTAGTTTTATAACAATTATATAATGATTATATTCATCAATTTTTTTTTTAATAACATTTAAAATGCATAAATTTTGTAATGATAAGGCATGTTTTTAAAAAAACTAGTAGATAGTTTCCTCTTTCCACTAGATAATATATTCTATAATGTTAATTAATTATTAATTTTAGGTAAATTAAATGAAGATGTTTGTTTGATATAAGAAATAACAAAATTGTAATTTATGTTAAAGAATTAAGTAAATAATTCTCAAGAAAAAGCAACAAAAGTTGAGTGGACTTCCTATGAAAAAATTAAAGGGCACGCTGTGACAGAATTTGATTTATTTCAGAGGTTATGGTGCCACCGACTTCCAACTACAACCCATGTTTACTGCGTCCAACCCACAACAATCCAGATATTTCTCGTTGTCTCATGGTCCATATGTTATAGCTTGTAAAACAAAGAAATACTGTACAAATTTTAATACTTAATGTTATCAGTTAACAGATTTTAAGTAATGTTAATTTTATCTACAGAAGTACAAACAATGAAAAAACATGGACCTGAGACTAACGAGAATTTGAAATTGGATTCTACATCAGAGGAATTAATGGCAACCTTATATTGGCATATTCACGGCGGGAACTTTTATCAGTGTGTGTGACTAAAATTTTAGACTGACAGTGTTAATTGACTATGATAAAAGACTATAAGTACTAAGCTAGAAAGTTTTTCTTTCAAGTATTATAATTTCAAAGGTTTTTTCTAAATAAAGGTAAACTAGGAAAAGGGAGGTTTTTTATTTAAAAACAATTAGATTACTTTTTTATATTTTATTTGTGCTAAATAAATATTACATAAATTATGTTGAGACAAGCATTGCAAAATAATAGTATATTGAATAATATATGAATCGTCAAAAACGTCGGAGTTTAATCTGAAAGAAAAATATGAAAATGAGTATATTTATGTTTTTTCTGTTGCAGGTGCAGTGTTAGAAGAACTAATTTAAAATTTGTTTCAGGGATCGCTCAGACTAAAATGCTAACTAAGTGTAGCTGTTTGAGTGTTTTGTTAATCAATATGATTTATTAATATCACCTTTCTGTTTTTCAGATTTGTCTTCCATATGCAGCCTTGTTGGCACACGGTCAAGTCCGAGCCATTCTGCTTCCGCCTTTAATGCAAATATTATTCAAATTTATACACTATTTTTGATATTTAAACTTTTTTAAGTTAGTAATCAATGACTAATTGATGAAACATTGTATCTGTGATAATATGTACCTGATTTATTATAAGTAATATATAATTGTAATAAATGATATTTTTGAATATTTTGTTTTTATATCTTAAGTGCAGTGACGAAAATGTACACAAGAAATAGTGGTTTATGCACACACTTAAGCAAAATGTGTCTGAATTCTTGACAAGGAAATCATGTCACCAACGTTGAGTGAAGCATTTAGGTTTAATAAATACCATTAAAAGATTTTAACTTTAAAAAATTAGAATGCCAAGAACACTAACAGTATAATTAATGTAATCCTTTTCCAAGGCTGTAGTAAGTATTACAGACCTAGATTTTTATATTATGATAGATAAGTCCCCTATCAAATTTATACCATTAATATAAAAATACATACAGTAAATTATAAAAGCACTATGAACTATCCTTTGAGATGTCAAAATAGATAAGATAATTAAAAATGCGAAAAACGTTTTCATATTTATTTAGATTAAAATACAAGTAGAAAACTGCAAAAGGTGCAATATGATAAGCGTTGAATAGGAAAAATACCATGAGCTAGCGGGACTGATTCAATATTACTGAGTAATTTCGTTAATAAATATGAACATATCAGTCATGATTGAAGGCTCACGGTAACCTCAGTTATTGGTATAGCGAGCAGCACAATTCATTAGTGGAAGGCATCTACAATAAAGTACTTGTTGTATTACCTCTGTAGGGGTGACTTCCTCCGTGTCGACGACATCCGGTAGAGCCTCCGCATTACCGCCATCTCCATCCTGTCTATTTCCGGTGTTCTCGCTCACATCGGAGCGACACGTTTGGTCGGCTTCAGCCAAATCACCGTTAAGCATTTCCGAACACGTTATAAGATCGGATTTCCCTTCTTGACTATTGTTCGTGTCTGTGGAATCCATGTCCATATGAACGTGTCCAGGCCAACTGTAGGGACAGCCGTTCATCTGATGCATCTGAGTGTCGCTCGAACCAAAAAGACTCAAAGATCCCGCAACATCTTGCAAATTCGGCTCCGATATTTCACTGTGGTGATTGTCCTCTTCGACGCCTATCATGGCTGGCAAGTTCTCTATTATGTCGGTGGAGACGTCGCAAACCCTCATCCCTTCATATTTCAAGAGTGATTCGAGGAGCTTCTTAGCATGTCTGTTGTCATTTGCATTATTGATAACAATATTCGCAAATGCCTCTAAGAGCTCCGGAGTGAAGATGTCCTCACTCTTTACGACTAGGAACCGTAGGATTCTGTTGTCGATCTGCGGTAAACCGTTCTGCACGTCACAATAATTATCATGTTCCGTCGATGTCGTGGTGACAGCTTCCATTGAGTATTCCTCTTGGGTGGAATCGTTTTGGTTCTCTATAGCCGCATTGTATTGAGATATTTGACGGATTGCTTGAAGAACTCTTTGCCGCAGACGGTCGGAGCTGATGTGCGTCAGCTCCTTGAATAGTTGTATTAGGAAATCTGGATGAGATTCGTTGACACCGATGAGGGTGGTGACCTCCGAGTAAATGCTTTCCCGGAGTATATCAAAGAGTCTCGAGGTGGCTATTTCTTGGCTGGTTGTATTGGCTTCGGAGGTGCTAGCGATATTAATGTTGCTCGTTTGGGAGAAATCCAGCACGTTATAGTTTCTTCTGTTGGCAGAATTTTTGGAGGGTAATTTCGCGCTGGACTTTTTCTTATTGAGATTCGAATGGGACTGAATTATTTCTGGGATGGGGTTCGTAATATTGAGGTTTCTATTGGCGGCTTCTTGTCTGTTGATGTTTGCAGCGGAGTCGTTCTGATTGCGCGGAACGGGTGCGTCTTCGTTCTGGTTAAGGTTTAGAACGTCTGGGGCGGATGAGAAAGACAGAGATCGCTCGTAGGCCACGTTTGCTTGAGAGTTTCGCATTTGCTCTTCCGCTCTAGGGTCGTTCGTGTTTCGTTTGGGCGTGGCACACGGCGAGGCCTGGGCGGAGCCTCTTCGCAATGAGTTATGCGAGCGTTCGAGAGGCGGATTGGTGGAACTTGGACCGTCCGCGTTCGTCTTGCTATTTGTTGAGAGGAGATTTTGGCGAGAGTAACTGCAATGGAAACACTGCAGTTATTATCGCTATAACATTAAATCATTTTAGCATTCAAAAATAATAATAATTACGATTTAAAGTAGGGATGTGTCATTCTGCATTAAAAAATCGATTTTTTTATTAATCGATTTTTTACAAATTTTTGAATTAATTTCAAAATAGACACCCTAAATATTTAATTTTTCATGGTTTTTTTAAATTAAAAATAAACAATAGAAACTATAAACACAAATTAACGTTTAAGAATAATCAAAATTGAAATTAACTTAATCTCGTTTTGATCGATTTTAGGTGAAATTTGATAAATGCTGAGTGTATGCCTTTTCAGTAGCACATTGCAGTATTTTTGTTGTCTTTTTAATTGTATGTAATCTTGTGCTGCTGAATAAATTTATTTTACTTTTAAATTATAGTGTTCCAGAAACTTGAGTTTTTGTAAAATTAACTGGTTTTATCATCCTTTCGATGTTTTACAAAAAAACATCAATGCATCTTCAAAGCATCGGATTTAATGTATCGCATTGTAAACATCGATGTATATCGAATATCCCTAATAGTTCGAGGTCCGGGTTATAAAATACCAGACATAATGTCGGGAGGTGGCAGATAAAAAATCGACTATGATTGATTTTTAATTATAAAAATAATCGATTATTTTAAATATAAAAATCGCGTACAAATATCGATTATTTTTTCACATCCCTAATTTAAAGGTAAAATTCAGAGCCGATACTCAAACTATGACTCGTATGTTACGCGAGTTATACTTAAAGCTAAGATCTCGACTCTAAATCATAAAATGAACGTCATATTAATTATCAATGTGATTATTGCAATCAGGGGTTTTAGCATTAATCGCTTTTCGACAAGCTTGGTCCAGTAACAAATAGTATGGAAATGACATGACGTCACGCTTTGTCACGTGACAAATTCCATACAAATTTGTTTGGCGTTAAGAGTCACGTCAGTCTAAGATTTTATATAAAGTATATAAAAATTGAGTTAAAACAAGACAAATATAATTGCGTTAGTAAACAATTATGAATTTAAAAGTTAGTTTTCACCCTTAAGTATTACTAAAATTACTGTAAATAAATTTATAAGGGCGTCCAATGTCTCGTACAGAATTAAAAAAAAAGTTATGTTATGAAATCGTAAAACCATGCAATAAAGTCGAAAATCACACAATCCTTACCCTAATAAATAATATGCATATAAACTAATTAAACTAATGTTCTATGGTTTTAACATCTGAAATAGAAATAATAAATTATAGATACAAATAAAAGATACACATAAAAAACACAACTTCCAATATTTACCTTCTAAAATTATCCCAATAGTTATTGGCTCGATTTCCGGGCGGAACTTGGTTGTTCAGCGTGTGCGACGCTGTTTCCGCGCGCCAACGCTCTTCTAACTGGAATAACAAACAGGCTTAAAAAAAGTTTTATTTAAAAAAATATTTGCTTTGTTAAAATTATAATCGATTTGCGAACTGGCAATGTACATTTAGAAACATAAATTTTTCTGACGTTCCTAAGCGTTAAAGTTCCCAATTAAATAAAAAAGAAAAAAAAATGTGATGAAGTGTCAGAGTGCCAATCCTTATTTAGAATATGAACTAATAAAAAATATATTTGTTTTATTTATTTAACTGTTATTAGGTATTTAACTTAAATTAAAAATATAGCCTAAACATTATATACAATACACGAAGAAGTAAAAATAATTATCCCGTTGAAATGTGTGTGCAATGTGTGTATTTGTGTGTGTGTATAAATTTTTAGGTCTTAAAATTTATTTTTGTTTATTTCCTTTAAAAAATACGCGTTTGAAGATAATATATAATAGTGTATAATGTAATGTAAATATAGTACTCACGTGATTGATCTGCTGCCTCATATGATGTATATCCCGCTGCTGCATGAGTATTTGTTGCCAACACCAAGCGCCCCAAGTACTGCAAGAGCAGCCGCAAGCGCAGCCACACATTACACCTGCAAACCATTAACGGTGTAACAAACTACTTCAAGAATTCTTTCGCGATTTTTTTTTTTAATATATGTAATAATGCGCAATTCCATGTAAAATCAACACAAAAATTATATTTTTGAGGTAAAATTTCATTCGTAGTGCTAACTCTATCCAATACTATGAAATCGAGAAAGACAGCTGCTTTCGCGTTTAAAATATCATAGTTATAGTCTCTAGCTCGTTGTTTTTAATAATCTCTGAAACTAATACAGATAAAAAAAAGTGGGACTTAAAAACTAATTTTTAAGTCTTGTTCATATTTATACAAATTAAAACTTTAGATTTCCGATACTTAGAGGGAGGGAAAAAGGAAGATATGTTTGAATTTAATGAACTAAATTGTCATTAAAATATTCAAAGTGTCGAAGATGAATACAAATTATAAATTTAATTTTTGAAAGTATTTTTTGGATAATAAAAACACATGTCATTTTGATTTACAAATCGTTATTTGAGATTTCAATAAATTATTTTGGATAAAATATAAAATACTATTCTTTCATAAATTCTCTTTACGAAATTTTAATTCTAAAAATAGAATGTCTATAAGGTAATTCACCCTTCTCTCAATCGCTCTCTCCCTCTTTGACAAAAACGCTGCACATCTTCGTGACGTTTCCGTAAAAATTTACCCTCACGCGCCTAAAGAAGTTTCACTCCAAAAATTAAGCAAAAAGCTAAAATAGGACATAAATAGCGATTATTTTTTTTCGCAAACTCACCACCAAAAGGCATCATCATATTAAAAGGCATGGATGGGGGGAATGTCATCTGTGGCGTTCCCAGGAGACGCTCCATGGTTTGCGAGTGACTGTTCTGGGTGAATTGATTCGCTCGCATGTCCTGCAATTAAAAAAAAATCTTAATAGACAGTAAGAAGTGTTATTATTATGTCCAAGATTAAAATCATCAAAATTATTTTTTTATCGGGAGACATTCCCGATGAAGTTCTCAAAACTGGGACCATTGGACTTCATTTCTAGGCTAATAAAGGGAAAAGATTTAAATAAAACACTTTTTGAACGGATTTAAGCTATGTATTATACATTTTTCATAATTTTAAATTTTTCCCGACGTTTCAATCCGTTAAAAAATTGTTTTCCTTAAATGTGTAAAAGTTATGTTAATAAAATACAGTATGGGAAAATTTTTGATAAAAAAATAACAGACCCGTTATCATGTACACACTTAAAAAAACATATAATTGTAAACGTATACCAATTTTGAATCCACTTGAAAACACAAAAATTTCATCAAATTCGGCCGAGCCGTTAAGGAGCTTAATTTAAAAAAATATATAAAACAGGGGGCAAACTGGCAGGAGGGTCATCTGTTAAGTGATACCGCCGCCCATGGACACTCTCAATGCCAGAGCTCGCGTTGACGGCCTTATAAGAAATGGTACGGTATTTTACCGAAGATTTAAATACAAATTACATACCTGATTAGATTTAGAATTCCAACATGGCGGCGGCATGTGTGGATACGGCATATTTGTACCATTATCAACTGAAACAAAATATTATTAGTGAATGAACATTTCTTTCTCTTTCTTAAGCATAGGTATGAATTATAAACACGAAATTCTTCTGTAAAGTTTGAACCTAAAACCTTCGGATTATGAGCCACGATATCTCAATATAAAAAAAGGCGAGATAAAATAAAAAACATTATCAATAAAATATATATTATAACATAACGAAAATCATGAACGAAAATCATTCATCATGTGAAAATAACTATACATAATTTGAAAGAAATTTCACTCCATTTGATATATAATAAATGTATGTTTTTTTCATAAAAGAGCAATATAGAATCTATATTTTAAAAAATCTATATAATATTTATCCATTCATAATCTGTGTTTGTCATTTGTCAATTGACATATATAATATGTTATAGAAAGGATATACAATAAACCCCCTTACTCTTATTCTTATAACGCATTTTCAGTCCCTCGTATAACACGGATAATCCCCTATATAACGCGGAGATTTAACACGTATATATATTTACTGTGACACTTATAATGATTTGTACGCACTTATTTTGTACATAACATAGTTATTTAAACGTGAATCATTTGTACATAACGCGTTATGCGAGAATACTCCTACAACGCGTTTCCTATAACGCGGAACCATTCTACCGTGTTATAGGAGGTATTACTGATCCATGCACCTTCTTCACCATCGAGTAGTCTGCAATATCGCAGCACAGCCCTAAGGGGATTTATTGTATCGACAATGTAACATGGGTCTATCAAGCATCCGCGAATATACAATGACAATACATAAATAGCAATATTTATTCCCAAGTAAATAAGCGATAATGTACAGACCAAAATATATCATAGAAAAATGTTCTTACCGTGTTGTGAAGCTGGCGGCGTCATGTTATTCGGTTCCGGACGTGGTTCGTGTCGCGAATTGTTCACGCAATTATTTTGAGGCAACTGTAAATATAAAAATATATATATATATATAACCTCGTATATATATAAATATATAACGTATGACAAAAAAACATTTATTTTTTATTCTTAGACTTTTATGTAAGGACTTATTTATGTTATTAATAAATAATAGATTTGGTTGTGCCAACCAAATCTAACCAAATCTTTTCATTAAGACTTAACAAATTGGTTTGGGGAATATGGCAGTATATAGTAAAACGTTTTTGCCTCGTTAAATATATAGGACAACTTTTAGTACGTTAATTTCAACAGTATTCCTTTTTGGAGTGCCAACTGCCAAACTGAATGGCTTTATCAATCACCTTGATGTAAGCCCAATGTGAGAAAAAAAAATGGAGAACGAAAAATATTAAAAAGATGGCACACACGCGAGCCTTGTGGAAAGGGAAATGAAAATGGGTGTCGCTTATTAGCCATGCTCATGCAGAGCATGTGCAGTTGGTTATATAATTGTTCATAGAATCTACTCTAATACTTTTAACTAAAGTGCGTACTGTCTTTTTTCATAGCGTACAAAAATGTGAGAAAGAGACAGAGAAAGAGGTTAGAAGAGAGACAAGGAGAAAATAGTAAATTAGTCGAAAGAATGGCAACCCCATTATTAAAACTGTGTATAACGAAACGACATACGTGCTCATTGCCTTCAAGGCGATCTTGTGTTCGTCGACGCTGTCGGTTGCGTTGATTAGACTTGCCTCTTGAAGCACTGGAATTTTATAAATTGGAAACACCTTATTATATAAATTACTAAAAATAATGGGCTATTTGACAATAGATTATTTATTAGTCGCTATGTAAGTTGAGCTATAGAAATTGATGATTTTATTCCAAAATCGCTTATCTAGACAAGATGGCGTCTCATTAGTCCTTATGACGTACGATGCCTGTAAACACGTAATCAAACGTCAAGTTGTTTTTGTATTATCATTTTTAATTTACACGAATACCCATTATATTTAATTTAAAATCATCATTCGATGAAATTAAACACCTAGGCAGTGTTTGCGTTTGATAGGAAGACATTATTATTTACAAGCATGCCACGTCATCACCTTATGTGACCGTCTTTTGTCACGTGACTGATGTATGAAAATTATTATTTTTAATTTAATTAACAAAAACAACTAGGTATACATATGTACAAATCATTATAAATTTCGCAGTGCACACACATAAGGGGGCGTCCATAAATAACGTGAGGTGTTTTTTTAAATTTTCTGTACCTCCCTCCTCCCCTGGTGAGATGTGAGATTTTATTCAACCCCCTCCCCTATCCCCCAATCTCACATCAGATTTTTCAAAATGTGAGTTTCTTACGTAAACGCGTTGGATTGTTATTGTAAAAAGAAAAAAATAAATTGCTTAGTGCTTTTATTTAGGACTAAAACAAAATACGTGAAATGTTGAGCGTTTAGGTATGGAGTTAACGGGAAGTTGCAGAGTTGGCCTTTAGGGTCAACCGTTTTCCTATTTTTTTTTGTTCAATCAGAAAAAAAATTGCGTGATATTTGCCAAGACCCCACCCCCCTCTCCAACGTAAGATTAAATGAGATTTGACTCGACCCCCTCCCCCCCATAAACACCTCACGTAATTTATGGACGCCCCCTAACGTGTATCTTTTTCACTTTTTGTTATATGATTGAATGGGCTATTTTATTAGATTTATAGTGAAATAAATACCTGTCAGTATCGCTACAGTATGCACTCGCATGTTGGGACGGGGCTGTGTTTGAACGGCTGCCGAGCGCGCTATCGCCGCCACCCTGTAATTAATATTTATAATAAGTAAAATTAATATCGTATTCCATTAGAAATACGCTGTAACAAATTAAAATGCATCATTAAATTTTACAATTTCAATTTTTTTTCTAGCACCGAATTAAGTCACACTAAATGTGACAATCTCGTCTTGAGCACTGTCAAATACGTCAAACTTCATCCAAGAATGGTTTGACAGCGCTAGACTAGATTTAAGTGCGAATGAGGTTCTAGTTTAAGATAAAAAAGGCAACGCGCGTACGGAGTGCGAATCAAAAATATATTCAATTAGTAAAAAATTAAAAAAAGTTCAAGTTCAAGTATTACGTAAGCAGATTTTCTTCAATTTATCCCCCCCTCCCTCTCTTGTCAGCAAAAGTAAGCAAAGCTCTCAAAAAGAATAGTACATAAACGTATGAAATTTTTTGTAGGAATCGCATTTTGTTTTCAAGCTTAGACATTACACAATGTGTGGGTAATATGTGTAAAAAATGAATCAGACCTAATCACCAAATAAGAAATTCAAAGACGGACCTTTTTGGCCATCCCATGATCTCATTGCTCAATGCTCATGCTATAAAAAAAAGGGTGCGTGTACTTATGTACGCGCGTAAGAAGTTATACTTCTTTGGCATTATTAAAAATAGTTTTTGATTGCATGCAAATAATTAATTACAATTAAATAATCAAAGACTGGAAAAGGAGTCATTAAATAAAGTTCAGTTTACATTTGAAAAATTAAATAAATAAATATTTATTATTATTCTCTTACATTAAGTGTCCAATGCCGTAGCATCTTCCGTGGGCAACTTCATCCTGCTAATTTTGTGTCACGGTGCGCGAGTTAAGAGTACCAACCCTATTAATATATGCTTTGCTAGCACTAAGCCGAATGTAGGTCGTGCGTCAGCAACGACCAATACTTAGTAAGTAAATCTGAATGTATAAATGCACGAAGAAATAGATATTAAGTTGATTATTGTTTAGTTCTTAATTAAGTGCTGTCACTCTGTTGATTTAAATAAATTATTTTTAAACCAAAAGTCCGTTGCCGTTCCTTTACTGGCGCAGCCGGTAGGATCTCCATAAGTTGCCTGGAAGAAGTTATACCACGTTTTTTTCGTGATCTAGTACCAACCGGGTAACGTACGTTTTAACGTTTTAACGGAGATCGCCGAACAAATAAATAAGTTAAGGACAGCACGGCATCGGTGGAAGAGCAGCCAAGAACTAGCAGTATCCCGGAGGAGCATGGTCAAGATAACAGGACTGTGAGTAAAACTTTTCACTTCCCGTGACTTTCCTTGTTTTCCTCTTGTATTAGTTATACGTTTATTTCGGATTGGAAAACGCCGGAAAAATATTTTTATTAAACAATCAAAATATTGTTAATAAAAGTAAGGTTTAAACAATTATTTTATAGGTAATTTTTTTTTTTTTTTTATATCCAAAATGGAAAATATTGTAAGAGTACCTGTAGAAATGGTAATAATTATTCCTGTTTTTGATGGTGATTCTAGATTATTACCATTATTCATTAAAAAATGCGAATATATTTTACAGACATTTCAAGGTGGCAATTTACAAAATGAATATCTGTTTCACGTAATTACTAGTCGATTATCCGGGGAAGCCGCAAGTCTAGTTGGGGAACGGGAACAAATAGATACTTGGGATAACCTTAAGTTATTATTAAGCCAACACTTTGGCGATCCAAGGTCAGAAGATTGTCTGGCTATGGAATTAGATTCCCTAAAAAAGGATAAGAACGAAAGTCATTTAGATTTCTGTCATCGTGTCCAACATTTAAGGAGTATTTTATTCTCCAAAATAAATGAAACCATTAACAACCCCGAAATAAGACAGGCCAAACAAGCGATATATAATAATTCGGCATTAAACGTTTTCTTATTTAATTTACCAGCGTACCTTGTAAGATTAGTGAGATTACGTAATGTTACCACGCTGGAAGATGCTTTAAAAACCGTGTTGGAAGAACAAAATTTTCAAACGGTTTATGATAGTAAGAACCCAAGGTCCAATCAAAATTTTAGACCTAATTATAATAATTTTAATTCGTTCCATAATAGGAATTCTCATCCGAGACAAGTTAATAATTTTAATTCTCCAACCCATAACGTCCAAATGAACCCGAATGCATCTAATCATCAAAATAGTTCAAATAATTCAAATAATAATTCTTTCCAAGTTAGAAATGATAGAACATTAAATAATCAAAACAATTATAACACGGTATTTAGGTCACCGGTAAAACAGTCGTCACAGCAGCGTCGGCATTTTACGAACAATGGATTACAATACCAAGAATCGCCTATGCCATCGACCTCTATTACCGATATTACGATGAGAACAGCCAGTTCAAGACGCGTTAATTACATTGATACTGATAATAATATTCAACCATCTTGTTCTTATAACTGTGAATCGAACCCGACTAGTTCGAACCATGAACAAATAGGAAATTTTTTTATGATAGCCTCAACAATACCGAAAAGATAAAAATAAATTATACAAAACTAAATTTACCTCATATAATTATTCCAAAATTAAATGCACTAGGAAAAACCGATAAAGATAACCAATCAATGGTAGTTAATGTGGAAAATGAAAATAGTAATTCTATGTCTTTCTCTGAAGCATCTAGGTCTGAAACAACTGGTCGTATAGATGAACGTGATATTCCATCTCGAATTAATTCCCGGTCATCATCTCGTACACTAACAAGTAACTCTAGTACAGACACAGTACATTCCGCAGATGATATGACTCCTATCCTCAAAGAAGCCATAAATACTAAACCAAAACTATTTTTAATACATACATGGTATAAAAATGAACTCTTTGTTAAAATTAAATCTCATCCAAAACAAAATATTTCAGAAATATACTTACCATTAAATAATTCGGAATTCCTCAAAGAATATATTAAACCTAAAATTAAATATTTCATTTATTACGAAAACAAAGCGCATCGATCATTGTTTAAGGACATAAAACATCCCCCACAGGTTAGTCCTCGTAGTGACCCAGGCAGTAACGATCCGGGCCCTTCAACTTCAAAAGGTTGCGAAGAATCCAGGCGTTCTCCCTCTCAGAGAAGAAACCGCCCTTATTTCATATGATAAGTGGATAATAATTAAGACATTAGATATTAAACTTATTAAGGAAGAATTAGAATTAAATATGCACAGATATATATAACTAAATAGAATAGTAGAATTACAGTTAAATACCAGATTCTAAATAACTTTCGTTATATTTATGAGAGCATACAAGAAATTGAAACTGCTATTGCATTTAGTAAATTGCACACCTTACACCAATCTATTATTAATTCTACAGAGTTATTAGGTGTTTTTAAAGTGATAGAAAAACATGCACAAACAATTTATCCAGTAACAAAAAACAACTTACTTAAATTAGAACGTAATATTATATTAAAGTCTTATATTGATAAGAATAAATTAGTATTTGTATTAGAAATTCCTTTGATAGAATCAGAAACGTATAACTATTACAAGGTTACTCCTATTCCTATAACAAAATCCTCTAAAACTTACACAATTATTCCTAAATATCCTTACCTATTGGTGAATGGTTTGAAATACAGAAATGTGTTGAGCCCTTGCGAGAGCATAGAAGACAGCAAATACTTATGTTCAGAAGAAAATATGGCAACAGACAATGAGGAAACATGTATCGAGGAATTAATGTTAATAAAGAATAATTACAGCCTATGTCATCAACATCAAATACGAATTGAGAAGCTAAAAATCCAGAAGATAATGAACAATAGCTGGTTGATATTCACAGCAGATAAAATAATTTTGTCAGAACACTGCAGAAACGACGTCCGACGATTCAGTTTACTGGGGACTTACATCGTGACGCCAAGTCAAGGGTGCAACATGCAAATTGGCAGAACGATCTTCGGTCAATCAAGCAATGTATCGGATGTGAATATACAGATGCCACTGGTGGTGATTCCCGAACTTCAGGAAGATTTAGCAACGGCAGATAAAAAGTTAGATTTGACAAACGTGGACTTCAGTGACGTAAAAGAAATGTTAAATAATGTGAGAAATAGCAATAGTGAAATAGTGGTGGAAAGTGTGGTGACACATAACATAAGTGTATGGACATTAGTTCTTTATTTTATAGTAGTAATAATAGTAATTGTTTTAATATTATTATTAAAGTTTAAATTGTATTCTATTTGCAATAAAAGAAATTCTCCGAAGTCACCTTTAGCCCCTTCGGATAATTTCTCTCTTAGGGAGGGAGGAGTTAAGAGTACCAACCCTATTAATATATGCTTTGCTAGCACTAAGCCGAATGTAGGTCGTGCGTCAGCAACGACCAATACTTAGTAAGTAAATCTGAATGTATAAATGCACGAAGAAATAGATATTAAGTTGATTATTGTTTAGTTCTTAATTAAGTGCTGTCACTCTGTTGATTTAAATAAATTATTTTTAAACCAAAAGTCCGTTGCCGTTCCTTTACTCGCGCGCATCATAAAATTTCACTCTCATCAATTTTTCATAACGCGCCTAAAGAAGTATAACTTCAAAAATATCGTATTAATAACAATGCAAAGGTTAACTTACTCTGAAATTTTCAGTTTCTCTAGAATGCTGCGAATCAATCTGAATGTGTTCCGATGATTCGGCTTCTTCAGGCTCACTGTAACAAAATTACATTACCATAGTAAAAAAAGTGTATGTGTGGTGGCATCATTTTATAAAAAAGTGCGTGCGTACAAAGTACACATGTCAGAAGTGATACTTCTTTGGCAAACAAATTTTTAACTCTTGTTCATATTAGATTATAGTTATATTAGAGGGGGGGAAAAGGAAGATATGTTAGGAATCTAATGAAATTAATTGTCATTAAAATATTAAGTGTCGAAAATTAATACAAATAATAAAGTAAATTTTTTAAATTTATTTCTTGGATAATAAAAACACGTGGCAATTTACCTCTCACCCACCCTCTCAAATACAAAAAGAAATATACATATAGATAAATATCTTAATATATATTGATTACATAATTTGTATGGTAATTGTTTAACAATATGTACTAACCTGTAGGACTGATTAGCGACAGACACCGCGCGGGAATCCGCCTTCACTTGCGGCGATTCTGAGCTCACATTCATTACCTGAAGTTGAAAAAACCAAATCAATCAAAATATAATTGAAGTGAAACTTCTATATAGCGGCGTATGGGAGAAATTTTGTAGCAATGTAAAAAATCGTCACGTTTTTTGGTTACGCGCCATGTTGCTTTTATTAATACCAACTACAAATTGCTTGATCGATCGCAGGTTGAATCCGATATTTTATTGAATAAAATATCTGCGGCAAATCCCGCAGAAAACCTTGAAATTAGTCGGATTACTTCAAGTAAATGCAATTAATGTAATTCTGTAATAATCTTAGTAGTAATAAGGTAAAATGTAATAATTGCATTATTTGAATTCATGTCTATGATAATAAAAGCCTTTTGTTAAACTTTATCTAATTTAACTTTATTTAACCAATTTCTGTAAAGTTGCATATCGACGTTTAAGAACCAATAGTGTCTATCTCAGTTTTTTACGTTTTTCACTTTTTAATGCAGGTAGATTTAACGTTTAATTTGGCTTGGCCTACTGAGGCTTCTATCTCAAAATTCACAAAATTGTCGTAGTTATTCGCTGTAGAAATACCATCTAAGTTAAGAGCGCGTTTATTTTTCTGCCAATACTGTTTATCTCTTCTCTATTGCGGCTGCACCTCGCCGCATCTAGCGTCATCTACTTCTGGAAAACTCTTAATTGGGGTGAAAGAAAAATGTATGTCAGAGGACATGTGAACCGTACTATGACTACTCAGAAAACGAAAGGTGAAGAGTCTTCTCGCCGAGAGGGCACATTAAGTTATTTTTTGGCTAAACCAGGGAATGAAGGTAAAATTTGTAAGCAGATGTTTTTGAATACTCTGTCACTGAATCCTACCACTGTTCAGCTGTGGGTTAAAGACGCTAGTTTCAATGTGGACGCTGAAAATCAGGAGATTATCCAGGTAAATAGACAAAACGCAAAGATTTTAGCCTTAAATTACTATTTTAAAAGTGTCCCAAAATGCCATCACATTATGCTCGTAAGGATACAAGAAAATTGTACTTGGAGCCTGTATATCGTACTATATCTGATGTATTTAACGCCTATGCCTATACACAACATTGCAATGACAATAATATACCTGCTGTATCTAGATACACATTTGATAAAAGTTTTAAATGAAGGTAATATCGGTGAGCATATTTATCGAGAGCATCTTATTAAAGAAAATAGAGCCAGGGTAGAGAAGGCAAAGGATAATGAGGATGCAGCTAAGGGACATTGCATTTTATTAACGATGGACTTAGAGTCGGTTAAAGTTTGCCCTTACTCCACTGCTAGCGCTTTATACTTTAAAACGAAATTGATATGTCATAACTTTACACTCTTCGATTTGACTTCACGCTATTGCACATGTTACTGGTTTACAGAAGTACTTTCGTGTCATTTGTGATAGACTACTTAGAGCGCCATTGCTTGCCGAAGAAAATGCCAATAATTATTTATTCCGATGGTTGCACGTACCAAAATCGGAACGTTATAATGGCAAATGCGCTTTTAAACTTAAGTATAAAACACAAAATCACCATCACCCAAAAGTTCCTCGAACGTGATCACACTCAAATGGAGTGTGATTCGGTAAATAGTGCGTTTGAACGGAAGCTCTCAAATCGTGTAATTCATTTGCCATGTGATTATGTTTCGGTAACTAAAGAAGCAAGGGCAACAAATCTCTATGAAGTAATTCAGATTGACCATAGTTTTGTGAAAAATTATGCCGATAGATCTACTTGGCTTTACAAAACTATAAGGCCAGGACGCAAAGCTGGTGACCCTGGAGAGCTATTTTTACAACCAAGAAGACACAATTAAAGTAAAACTAAATTTCGACCAGGATTGGTTTGCCTTGCCACAAAGACCAAAAAGATATAACCCCTATAACTGCCTCGAAGTACCAGCACCTCCAAGACCTCAAACAAATTCTACCAAACGAATGTCATAATTTTTATGATACACTGCCCCACAAACTACAAATGGTTGTAGAGTGTGAGTGTGTGTGTCAGTTGTTTTTGTTGTTTGTATCTGTTTCTACTAAATTTAAAGATTCGTTTCAGTTACTTTGAAGATTTTTTTAGTTATTAAAGTATATAATTGTTATTAATAAGTCTTTTTACTTATTTAGAACACAATGATTTCATCTTTCATTGTGAACTTTATTAAAAAATGTGATTTTTCATTGTGTTGTTTTATTTCAAAAACGGCTAACTACTACTTATTTCAAAAATATTTACACTAATAAAACCAATACCACCTATCTCACGTTAATTCTAACTAGGCCAATCTTAAGCTAATCCTAGGATATCTATCGTATTTCAGCATATTTTTTCTATTTTTACATATATAAACATTTCAAGTATATTTCTATTCAAAGTCGAGAAATGTTTTTTTTATCTCCTGAAAAGTTCACTTTATTGAGATAAACACTATTGGACCTTAACCGTCGATATAGTAGATCATTTTTCGAAAAATAAGGTCACGAAGAAGTTTCACGTCTTACGTGTGTACACTAGTAAACGCACAATTTTTTTTAAGCAAATCCCACTCCAAAAATACTTCTTTTGTCCCTGTCACAAGAAAATTGCAATTCCGAAGTATGGCTGAGATATAAACTAAAATGACAAAATTCTTGTAACATTCACGTATACGTGCACACAACACATGTATACGGCTCATTGGTCTAGTGGTTAGTACCTCTGACTCCATGGGTCCCGGGTTCGATCCCCGGCTGAGACAAACATCGATGTGATAAGCCTAGTAACCATAACACAAGCTTCACCAGCTTAGCATGGGACTAGGTCAATTGGTGTGAATTGTCCAATCATAAAAAAAAATACCAATACGACTTAGGGTCATTCAAAGAGCGTACCAACGCACTCGCGAGCCCTCTGGCATTAAGTGTATCTATGGGCGGCGTACGGCAATATTTTTTTTAATAAAATTACCTCCTTATTAAGCAAAAGCTCCAACTCCCGTTGCTTCTCGGCAAGCAGAGCCCTCAGTTGCATCTGCCTCCTTTCAGCAGGCCCAGGGCAGGGCACACTGACTTCCTCATTCACTTTCTTCGGCTTTCGGTTGGCTTCGGCACCTAATCATTAAATTGATAAGTATAGTTAGAAAAATTTGTTAAATATCTTGGTTGTCAAAACTCAAAATATCTTTATTCATGTGTTGCCCACGGAAGATGCTACGGAATTGGACATAATTTAAAAACAACATTCGAATAATGATAGAATTTATGTTACACTTAATGTAAGAGAATAATAATAAATATTTATTTATTTAATTTTTCAAATGTAAACTGAACTTTATTGACTACTAGCTGGCCTGGCGAACATCGTACCGCCTAACAGTCGATTCTTTATTTTTTTTTAATTCTGCTATTCGGGACACCGGTCTAGCTAGTTAGTTAAAAAAAAGAAAGTTGATAAGACAACAAATACATTATGTAAAAAAAATTACCTTCCCGGAACCCTTCCACTAACACTTGAACTTTATGATATGGTATTAAAGTTCAAATTGACTTTTAAATATTATTACGAATATTTTGTATGGGAATATAGAAAAGTGTTGTTTTTAGACTTTTTCACCCAATTTTTTAAATTTTTCTCTCCGTAAGAACCATCCTCGTACTTCAAGGAATATTATAAAAAAAAATCAGACAAATCGGTCAAGCCGTTTTCATGTTATGTCGTGACAACGGAAAAAGGGTTTCATTTTTATATATATAGATAATGACTCCTTTTCCAGTCTTTGATTATTTAATTGTAATTTGCATGCAATCAAAAACTATTTTTAATAATGCCAAAGAAGTATAACTTCTTACGCGCGTACATAAGTACACGCACCTTCTACCTATTGTCTAATTTCGTTTTTATTTAATCATGGCGAGTATTATGGAGCCAAAAATTAATTAAATAAGAGCACATTAGTATGGCCGAGAGCTGTTACTAGCGATTTTATTAAATATTGTATATTTTACGAGTTATTTTAATAAAAACCAATTGGCTTTTACTACATAAGTTTGACGATTATTTAAATGTGCTTGGGATTGATTAGCTCCGGTTCAAATATTTAAGACTGCCCTGCCTTACAAACAATTTGTATGATTCAAAACTTGGCGATTGAAAAGAGTGGCGGAGACTTTCTTGCCAGTTCTTCTCGCCCGCTCTACGCCTCTGACTTGCGAACTGGTAGTAAATGTAGTATTTAACATCTTTTCGTCATTTAATATACCTTTATTTGTAACGAGGTCCTTGATGCGAGCTCGTTCGCCCATTATCTTTTCGGTCTCCATACGCAACTCCTGCGCTAACTCTTGAAGCGAATTGATATTCGCTTCGTGGCCTGAAAATTCATTATTTAATTTAAAAAACGTTGCCTAATCTAAAAATAAGAATAAAAACTAATTGCATACCCTTTAACAGGCAACAGCATAGTTTACACATAACTATTAAAATAAATCAGTGGCGCTACAACCTCTTTAGGTCAAAGCCTCAGATTTATGAATCTGTTTCATGATCATTTTTCAATCTAAAAGACAAGTAGGTGATCCAGCTCCTGTGCCAGACTGCCCGTCGACTTTTTGGGTCTAAACAAGCCGTTTTCCTTCACCGTTCGAGCGAATGTTAAATGCGCACATAGAAAGAAAGTCCATTGGTGCACAGCCGGGGATCGGACCTCGACCTCAGGGACGAGAGTCGCACGCTGAAGCCACTAGGCCAACACTGCTCTACACATAATATAATAGAAAAAAACTATAAACATATTCCAAAATGCCATTAAAAAAGGATGGACTATATATTGGTTATAAATTATTTATGCGTGCGTTCAGACGCTTATTTCTTTTTGTTAATTTCTTAAAAAGTAACCTAAATATTTGTTTTATATTTGACCCGGAGGTTCCTTGAATGGAGACCTCGTCAGAACAAAAACCGTAAGGGAGGTTGGCCAGTGTATGCAGAGGCTCGTGCAGGGCGTGCAGGAAGATGGAGGCCTACTTCAAATGGACAAAAAAAAGAGGCTGATCGAATCCAGCCGTTTAGGAAAGGAAAAAGGCCGTTTAAAAAGCCGGCAACGCACTTGCGAGCCCTCTGGCCATGTGTCTATTTTCGAATCCACTTAAACACACATTTTTATCAAAATCTGTCCAGCCGTTTAGGAGAATACGAGAAAATATATAATTTTTTGTTAGTTTTGTATACTTACTTTGCTGTGGTTGCATTTGCCGATTCTGGACATGATTCTGGGTCCGTTGCGAGTGATTTTGTCCGGAGTGCTCGTTCGTGAACTTATGCCGATGCGGTAGTGAGTTCAAAACCCGACAGACGCTGCCTTCCCCGGACCATCCACCCACGCTGCCCGATTCTGACTTGCTATAAAAAGCAATTTAGAACAATTAAAACATATTATGTCAAAAACTACTACACCAATTTTGATCATAGAACTGTTCTTAGATGGTCAAAATACTATCTCAATATATATAAAATTCTCGTGACACAATGTTAGTTCCCATACTTCTCCGAAACGGCTCCACCGATTCTTATGAATTTTTATGCATATTCAGAAAGTCTGAGAATTGGCGACTATCTATTTTTCAAAAAGTGATAAGGGGTGTCCACCCCAAAAAAATTTTTTTATTTTTTATACAAAAATACATACAACCCATAAATTTCAAAAACCCTCTACGATCAAACCCCTACTTATATTATTGTAGATAGTTATTTTTATTGAACTAAAAAAATGTTTCCAAGAAATAATAAGTATACATGGCAAAACAAAGTTTGCCGGGTCAGGTAGTATTATTATATATTATTATTATAATCTTATTTTTCTGCTGATTTGTGTTAAAGTGTTTTTATTTATTCATTTACAATAACATGCACTATCCTTACGTAAGCCAATACGATACTGTCGAAAAAACTTAAATGTAGTCGACTGTCGATAGTTTGAATTTTTTTCGGTCCCCTAAAATGCTCGATAATTTGAATAAAACCAATATTTATGGCAAGGTAATTTGAAGTTGAATAGTTTATTGTTCGCCAACATACGATGTATTGAAGTCCAGGCTTCCCTAATCTCAATAATTTGAAGTGTTTTTTATGCACAGACTTGTCAATTGTATACATAAATGACAGTTACATGAAGGTTTTATCAAGTCACACATGAAGGTTAATAAGTTAATTTTTGATGACATCATGATAAGGATAGACTGAAGCCGCTCACACAAAAATATATTATGATCATCTTTTTGAAATAAACATTTGTGAATAATTGTATTTTTATATTTAATTGTTACTACATAATAATACAGAAATAATAAATCACTAATTGTGATCAAGCTCTTATTTTCTTGAGTAACCTAAAAACCCTCGTGGTTATTTAAATGCTTCTTATTATTAACTCTCGGTTATTTGAAATTTACCTTCCATCCATTGAGTATCAAATTATCGAGAGTCGACTGTATATAAAATAAATACATAAGATACACAATATCGCTACTATAAAGTCATTCTTCGACATATATAGTTATGTCAAATGATTATTTTTTATAGTCGAGAAAAAATTAATAATGCCTATAGGAAAACTCTACTCACTTGTCGTGTATATTATTAGAATGGGACGGCATATGGAAAGTGTCTTCTGTTGTTCCAGATAAATGGTCCGCTTCAAATGTTTCAACTGACCTCATGAGATCTACAAAAAAACAATTAAACTTCATTGAAAAAGATTGCAATAGACTAACTCTATTGTCTATGTTATAGAGTTAGTTTGTCTATGCTTTCCCATAAATGATACTAGAAACTAACGGATGACGTATATTATTTTGGCAAAGTTTAATAATAAATGTATGGTGCAATTAGCAAAGTGCTAATTTGAAATTTAGATAATTATTTATGTAAAAAGTGCTCAACCCCTATCTACCCTGTATTAGACATTTTGTCGCAAATTTACATTTTAAGAAATGTAAAAACGCTTTGTAACGCGTAAATAAATACCCAATATTCTTCCTAATTGACCGTTAAAACGAAAACATCTGTCTCTTTTTATTATATAAATATTACAGAAAGGGACGAAAGAGTGACAGTGTGAAAATCAATGTGTATAAAACAGGACTTTAAAAAGCGTTACGTAAAGTAACTTGTAAATAATCATTAATTTATCAAAAAATCCATTTTATTTATTTATTTATTTATTTATTCTATACATCATCCTAAATATAAAAAAGTTGGCGTGGTGGAAACACAAACTGGACACAGTTTTTCCGTCCACCAGGTCGTCGAAAATATTTAAATAATTAACCTATTACACACTCAGGCCAGTGACACACTATACAATATAACACCCCCACCAATAAACCATAAAAATTGCACGAACAACATATACCAATTGAAACAATGACGCTCCACACGAGAAATTCTCATTCGAATACAGGATGTGTAATCGAATTTACATATTCGAACATGAACTAAATGACGACGTCCTACTTTTAGTTATGCATAATTTGTAATTGTTTGACTTATAAAGTAATTTTTTAATTTAAATTTGATATTGTTTCCTGTTACATTAGCAAATAGCGCAGCCGGTAAAGAGTTTAATAGATTTGGAATAATATAGTCTAATGTTTTTTTCCCATATAAATTATTGTATTTTGGTAAAAGAAATTCGTTTTTTAATTTTCTACGTGTTGTATAGTGATAATGAGTTTTAGTTGTTTTAAGGTAATTGTCTGTAAAGTAGTTTTCATTTAATAATTTTTTATTTTACTTTACATTACTATTGATATTCATATATATTGAGTCACGTGACACAAAACGGTCACAGATTAGTCTTAAATAAATAATGTATTCGCATATCTGTCATATCCCTAATACTGTCTATCAAATTTGGCGAAGAATTTGTGTAATTTAAGAAATACATGTTTGTTTATCTGTTATTGGCATTTTACGTCATACGTGCGACGCCATCTTGTGTCACGTTATGGCAGATTTTAGAAACAACTAATTTAATTTGAATTTTTAAAGCCAATACAGATATAACAATAACATTACGTTTTTAAAATCTTGTCAAATAGCTCATTGTGATAACAATGAATTAATAATAATGACCTTTAGTTTTTTGTAAGGCCGTCTTAATAGCTTTGATTTCCATGAGTTTGAAGGGATCTTCGTTCTTCATATTGACACCAGACTTGTTGCCTGAAATTAAAACACAATTAATTAAACTAAACGTCTTATTGCACTCATAGTGCTTTCGTCTCTTTCTGTCAAATTGTGTTTACTACATGATGAACAGAGACAGATGGATTATTTATGTAGTAGGGGGTAAGTCCGTCTTATTGCACTCAAAGTACTTTCGTCTCTTTCTGTCAAATTGTGTTTACTACGTGATGAACAGAGACAGATAGATTATTTATGTAGTAGGGGGTAAGTCCGTCTTATTGCACTCAAAGTACTTTCGTCTCTTTCTGTCAAATTGTGTTTACTACGTGATGAACAGAGACAGATAGATTATTTATGTAGTAGGGGGTAAGTTCGTCTTATTGCACTCAAAGTACTTTCGTCTCTTTCTGTCAAATTGTGTTTACTACGTGATGAACAGAGACAGATAGATTATTTATGTAGTAGGGGGTAAGTTCGTCTTATTGCACTCAAAGTACTTTCGTCTCTTTCTGTCAAATTGTATTTACTACGTGATGAACAGGACAGATAGATTATTTATGTAGTAGGGGGTAAGTTCGTCTTATTGCACTCAAAGTACTTTCGTCTCTTTCTGTCAAATTGTGTTTACTACGTGATGAACAGAGACAGATAGATTATTTATGTAGTAGGGGGTAAGTCCGTCTTATTGCACTCAAAGTACTTTCGTCTCTTTCTGTCAAATTGTGTTTACTACGTGATGAACAGAGACAGATAGATTATTTATGTAGTAGGGGGTAAGTTCGTCTTATTGCACTCAAAGTACTTTCGTCTCTTTCTGTCAAATTGTGTTTACTACGTGATGAAAAGAGATGAGGATGATTTGTATTAACCAAAAATTTACCAAAAAAATTGTTAAATATATTATACACTTATGGTATATTTTATACATTTGTAAATAAAATTGTTATTTAAGCTATATTTATAATCTGAATGTGAAAAATGGGCACAAAAGAACAGTGTGCCTTCTCCTTAATAGAGACTGTAAGTAATGTTATTGGACACTTTATGTTAAATATCCTTAGGTAAATATGGTTAGACTTAAATTACTGATTAGTCTTAAATTATTAATCGTAATGTTCCATGATGTCAGTGAAGAAACAATGTATTCAAACAATAATTTATCTGTGCAATTTGTCTATGATCACCTTTTTGGCCATCGCTTGTGACGATGGAGTTATTAATCAAAATAAAGTCTATTCTAGCATTTTTTTTTAAACCATTGACATTAAAACATAAAGAAATAAGCCATAATCAATATGAAATTTAAATACATACATTTTCTGGACGGCTCGTCCTCCCCACTGTCTTCACCTGAACTGGAATAGGTATTATGAGCCACGCCCATACTTGCCGCCATTTGCAATTTTTGGAACTCAGTAACCTAAAAAAATATGAATAAGGATATATATATACAACTTGCTTTTATTTAAAATTGTTGGCTATTTGACAGTGTGTCAAATAAAGTGTTAATGGGCGTGTTATAAAATACGGCTCTAAAAAAGTACTTACTAAACGTTTAGTAAGTCACTTACTATGCTCTTACAACAATTTGGTTCCGGGACACAAAAAGTGCTAACGCAGTAAGTATGGCTTAATATACGACGCCATTTTGCTTATTGTTGATGTAAACAAAACGGACAATAAAATATCCAATAAAATATTTCTCATAAAATTATCCATTTGAAACTATTCACAGGTATTAAATTATATTCCTAAATTTAGTACTGTCAATTATATTCAGTCTACTGAGGTTATGTACGGGATAGTGTGACATAAACCGGTGTTTTGACTGTTATGTTAATAAGCCAGTAAGTCTGTCCTGGCCGAAAAGCGCTACAGTCAGCTTGTAAGACTATTATTTTTTTATGCTTACGGGCTTACTAAGTTTAGTAAAGTACTTACTTCGGCCGAACACGCCCATTGAGTGTAATGTCTATAAAATATGGCTCTTAAATCGTATATATGTGTAAAGAGAATGATCTCTTTAATTTGAATATTCGCGCGCACTGCTAGTTCGTGAGTGAGCCGCGTCGTGTCACGTCAAGCTAGCTGCCATTGTCAAAGATGTAAAGGACAAATATGCTGAGATCGTTGAATTGTATTTTAATCTTATTTGTTAATTAATTTCATACTGAGTTAAGCTATATGCATCGAGAGGTGATAACAATAAACTTTTATTGTCGTTTCTTTACTTACAGGTGAGATTGTGTTAGTCTTGTAAGGATTGCATCAGTGTGTAACCTACTCGATAAATAAAATTGCATTCTTTACTTACAGAGAAACAAATAGAAGTTTTATTTAGCCTCTTGCAATAGAAATACAAACTATTGTCTTATATATGTATATAAAAAACATTAATTTATAAAAAAAAAATATTTACTAAGCCGTATGTAGAGACCTCTAACGAGCAACTTTGGGAGCGCTGCCGAGAAATCCCGATTAGCCAGCAGATCAAGTGACGCAAGTGGAAATCGATAGGCCATACACTCCGAAGAGATTCCAATCATATTCCCCAACAGGCGCTTGATGTCAACCCGCAAAGCGAAAGCATGGACGTCCTAGGCAAATCTGGCGTCGTGGAGTCTTAAGACCGAACGAGACTGAACTCACTGTGGACGCCCTCTACCCCATCCAGGGGTTACGGGACATTAAGTTAAGCGTCACGTGACACAAAACGGTCAGGATTCGTCGAAACAATGACGTAGCATGCTTGTAAACAATATCTCTAATCCTAATTGGGAGTTAAATTTCGTCGGTTGACATACAATATATCTCTATATTTATTTTAAGTTTAAGGCATTTGATATTCTTTAGAATATATAAATAGCTATTCCGGAGTTTTACACCATTTCAATCAAAAATCACACGATTTGTGTTTACAAGTATGTTACGTCATAGGATGTGCGACGCCATCTTGCATTGCGTTATGGCGGGTTGTAATTACAGAATTAAAATAATTTGTATAAATTCTATAGTCATTAGTAAATTATTTGGATTCATGGAACTGCCTATTTACTAATTGGGTCCTTTATTTAGGGTTTTATGGACTTACCAAGTTCTCCATATGCTGTTTCTTAAGTTGAAGATCACGCAATCTTCTATGCAACATTCGTCCTCGTTCCTGTAAGACACCCTCTGCATCTTCTTCTGCGTCACTTCTGTGACCTGCCTCCTACATAGAAGTCATATTTTAAAGCAAATTATTTCAAAACCAGTGGACGAAGAATGTAAATTGCGAATATAAAATGGGGACTTTCACCAAAAGTGCTTCGCTAAGATACATTTCCTAATTGAATTGCTAAATTAAAGGAGTATTAATAATTATAATATTAATAAAAAAATATGAAAGGAAAATTCGAGTTTTTTTTTCAAGTGGAGGCCTCGGGGTTGCAGCCCTGGTTGCCCTCTCCTAAACCTGGCTCTGATAAACCTTGATTAAAAGCTAGGTCCAAACCTGATTTAGAAAAATATAACTAATTCCCGTCATTATTTATCTATTACATTAATTTAAGAATTTTGATACAGCCTCACATCATATTAATATTATTTCCGAGAAAATTGAGGTCAAACTCCTTTCGCATTTCTTCTTGTCTATGGTTGGTTTTGGTATTTTTCTTGTTTTTGGTCAGATATGTTTCTTTTTCATAGACAAATTTTTTTTTTAGTTCAAAAGTTTTAAGAATATAAAAATAAACAATAATCTCATTATACCTCGCTGCTAGCAATATTTCCATCGCGTATCGAGAACCGATCGTCCTGGTGCTGAGAATGGTTCGAACGTGTTTCGTTTGAAAACACATCTTGGGGAAGAGTTGTGGCCACTCCTATTTGATTCGTCGCGTACATACGGTTCGGGTTCGCATAATTCGCGTTCACATTCTGAAACGTAAAAATCCATTCAACTACGAAGCGTTATTAGATTTACAATTGAATGTTCTAGAATCTAACTCAATTTTTTTTTTATTTCGTTACAAATGAAAGAAAAAAACACCTATGATAAAGTTATAACAGCCGAAGATGAAATACATAAACAACATTTACGAAAACAAAGATTAAAAATATTAAAATATAATATATTTAATTCAGCTGTGTTGTGTCATGATGTGAAAGTGAGTGTGTGTATGTGGGGTGTGCTCATGATGCCGGTTATAGCGCGCTAGCTTGAACAATTTATTGATTGTTTTGTTTTTAACGTTTTGTGTATTATTAGTTGAAAGAATTCTACGCATTCATTGTAGTAGGACTACAGCGTTGTATTTCGCGGTAATCTTGGCTTTATGTCAGGCGGCAGACAAGCGCTTTCATTTTTTGACAAGTGACAGTTGACAGTTGATATTTTTCACGCCACTTCATGTTATTATAAAAATCTTGGGTTTCAATCCTATGATTCTACTAATAAATAAATTTATAATAGTCGTTCATAAATCTCAGAGTATTAAAATATAATATACCTGTGGATTTGAAAAGTTCTCATGTGATGTAGACGGATGATGCATCTCTTGGCTTTGCTTATTCAATTCTTCCAATTGCTGTTTGGCCTCCTCCTGAAATAGTGATTTTATTATTTGTGTTTAAATGTGTGTACCTGTGTTCATTTGTTATGTTGTGTTAGGTTTTTGTCAATTTCTATTAGAAACTGCCTCTGATTACTTTTTATCATCTTAGTATATTTTTTTACTTATTGTACCTTTTTAGTAGTTACATACCAACATATGGAACATTTTCTATGCTACCCCATAGAAACTGTTCGCGTTTCCGGAATAAAAACTTTAGTACTAAATAAAACTAAATTTTCATCTTTCCCAATTTTTTCTCTTTAAATGGAGTATAGACAGACGTTGGCATTCTCTAATCTCTTCAACAGTTACATTACATTCATTCATTTCATAGCAATTAATATTTTATTATTTCGCATATTCTATTTTTGTAAGCGAGTGGTTAATATAAGTAAAAATAAAATCATCAATTATTAAAAGCAACCCGACGACCGAACAATTACTAATCAAATTATAGTAAGTTCGACATTAAAACGTCGAATGCTAGACGACTATAAAATGCCGTTTAGATTCTCGTAAGATACATTTTACCGTTCACAAATATTGACAGAATGTCAATCTGTAATCCCCAGATTTCGCTAAAATATTAGGATCACGTTAAATAATTTCTATATATCTACCTGGTATTTAATCAGCATCTTCTGTTGTTGCTTCAAGGCGCTCAAACGCATCTGAGACATCTCCATTTTGTTCTTTATCTCATTTTGCCACAACTCATTCTCGCTGTACGCAGATCCATTGCTTTGAACCGATACGGGTCGTACTACCACATCTTGCTGTAAAATTAGAACAACATTATTTATCTTTGTGATTCAAGATGGCTTCTTGTTAAATGGCTCATCGATTTATTTAAATAAAAATAAATCAGTGGCGCTACAACCTCTTTAGGTCTTGGCCTCAGATTTCTGAATCTGTTTCATGATCATTTTTCAATCTAATAGGCAAGTAGGTGATCAGCCTCCGGTGCCTGACACACGCTATCGACTTTTTGGGTCTAAGACATGTCGGTTTCCTCACGATGTTTTCCTTCCCGTTCAAGCAAATATTAAATGCGCACATAGAAAGAAAATCCATTGGTGCATAGCCGGGGTTCGACGCTACGACCTCAGGTATGAGAGTCGCATGCTGAAGCCACTAGGCCAACACTGCTCTATTCTGTCAGAGTTAAGATGCAATAAATTGTAAATTGGGGAGACAAACTTTTAAGATTCTGCGTTAAGGTACACATATTACGCAGAATTTTAGCAAAAGTTTTTATATAATAGGTGAGCAATACAGCTGCCGCAACTCATGTTAGTTTCATTAGGTACGTTGCCGGCCTTTAAATATATACACCTTGGGGAACACACACGAAAAGTTTTAAAAATTTCAGGAATTGGATATGACTTAGGTAGGTAGTCGAAAGCCTAAATTTTATTCTTGAACGTAATAATGGTTCAAAGTATTAAATGTTAGATTCACTAAAATCCAATGACGGCTGTTAAAACGGTGAGTAACACACAGGCCATGCAGCCAACAACACTAACACACAAAAGAACCTTTTCATCATTATTATTCGCATCTTTAGTAATACTTTTCATATCTTCTATAATCGCGATTTTTTCTGTGCACGATTTTATATTTTTCTTTAACATTTCGTTAAGGATTTCGTCATCTTTCTTAATGTCTTCTAAATGTGTTTCTATTTCCTTTATTTCTACTCCACTAGTCTCAGACTGATCGAAATTCTTTTTGACATTTTTGTCTTCATTAATCTTTTTGAGGGAATTTGTTTTATTGATTTGTTCGTTTTCTATATTTGTTACTTTTTTCGCAGGAACATTAGGTTCACTCAAACAATTTAGTGTAGTATCATCGCTTGTTTCATCTTCCCTTTGCGACTGACTTTGTTCTTCACTTGCAATTGCTTGTGGGGGATCTTCTAACGCACTAAAGGCTTCGGAATTCTTTTCCAGAAGAAGTATTTCTAATTTCTGTTCACTTTCTTTTAATTTCTCTATCATTTCAAGGAGTTCATCATATTCCTGTTTGGTGTGCTCTACGAATGCCTAAATTAAACGTAATTGAAATTTATATTGACTTTAAGAACCTTTGTTTAAAAATTAAAAAAAATTGAACACCATCAGCTCATCTAACTTTTGAAGGAATATTTGAATATGAATACATACCTCGTCTTCAGAGTTACGCATAGTATCAACAAGAGACGAGGTTACTCTAATATATTCCCTAATTTGGCCGAGTCTTCTTTCCACTGAAGCTGCATCCGGGCATACAGCCACAATGGCCTCTCCGAGGGCACGGGCCGATTCTCTATTGACCTATTGACAAATTAATTGGATATCTTAAAGAGCTAAGTAAGTTAGGTGGCGTCCATAAATTACGTGAGTTGTTTAAGGAGGGGAGGGGGTCGAGTCAAATCTCATTTAATCTTACGTTGGAGGGTCTCGGCAAATATCACGCAATTTTTTTTCTGATTGAAAAAAAAAATAGGGAAACGGTTGACCCTAACGGCCATCTCTGCAACTTCCCATTAACTCCATACCTAAACGCTCAACATTTCACTTATTTTGTTTTTTAATTTCTTCGAGCTCAAAAATAAGAATTCTGTGTTATATAATTAAACACTCAGCAATATTGATTACTAGTCTTAACTCTTAACTAGTCGTAAATAAAAGCACGAAGCAATTTTTATTTTCTTTTTACAATAACAATCCAACGCGTTTACGTAAGAAACCCACATTTTGTATATCTCACGTGAGATTGGGGGTTGGGGGAGGGGGTTGAATAAAATCTCACGACATCTCACCAGGGGGGGAGGGAGGTACAGAAAATTAAAAAAAATTATGGACGCCCCCTTAAATATATAGAAAATGTTTATATTAATTTATATTTTATATATATGTGATATACATATGATAGGAAAAATCATGTAAATTACGTATGAATTACATATACATAAGTAAATTATAGAAAATTTTCTCATTAAATTACTCTACGAGCTCTCTGACTCCTGATAGTTCGCAAAATGAACAGTCAGTACATACAATCTGCTAACCAAAATAATACCGCGTTTAAAATGCAACTACCGCCATCTAGTTATTACTATAAAAATTAACTAATTCATAAAACATTAGATACATTATTTTATTCCATAAATAATAAGTAGTAAATAGTTTTATTTTCTTACTCAGTATAATTTGATTAATTATAATAAGCTCATGTATTATACATTACATGCGGCTCATTGGTCTAGTGGTTAGTACCCCTGACTGCGAATCCATGGGTCCCGGGTTCGATCCCCGGCTGAGACAAACATTGATGAGCATTTGGTGTTGTGCTTAGATCTTGGGTGTTTAAAAATGTATATTAAATTTTTTTACTATTTTTTTAAATTTTGATTTAATTTTGTGATCGTTTTTTTCTAAAAAAAAAATTTCACTAATTTTTCAATTTAATTTGTGTTTGAAGAGAAAATATTGTTCCATTTCTGATTTTTTTTATTTTGATATATTTTTTTTTTCAATCATGTGATGTCAGAATTATTGATTACCTACTAAGTAATAAATACTAATTTCTGAAGTGCATTCATTTTATTTGACCGATACCCTTGTTTCATTTCTAACTCTATGGACATATAACGGTCTACTATAAAGCCGACCAATCAGCGCGCGAAGGTGCGTACCGTTTCACAATTTGACGATTTCACTTCGATAGATTATAATCTACCGAATAATAATACGTTAAATTGTAAGCAGTACGTTGAGTTCACAATCTTTCGACAGTTTACAATCTCGCGAGATAGATTACAATCTAACGGTGTTTACAATTTTACGTTGACATGTATATCCATTGCCTAGTACCCATAACACAAGCTTCACCAGCTTAGCAAGGGACTAGGTCAATTGGTGTGAATTTTCCAAAAATATTTTTTAAATAATAATACTTAATACTTACATGATTATTTTCATTAATATTGTTGAAACTTCCTTGTCCTTGGTCATACATATTGTTCATCATATTCACAGCTTTGGTGGATGATCGACTGTTAGAAACGGAAGCTGTGTTGTTGTTAGAATTATTATTACCTTCAAAATGATGTCTATTTGAATTCAAATTCCTGGCAAAATTCTTTCTATTCTGATTTTGAGCCTGCAAAGTTTATATTTATATATTTCACTAATCTATCTGACTAACGTTGATCTGTACACATCTTAAATACAAAAAATAATCTTATTGAAAATTTAATCAAAATCGGTACAGGCGTTTAAGGAGCGTTCAAGAATTATTGACCCCATGTAACTCGTCGTAACGTTTTTCAACACCCAAGTATAGTAAAACTGTTCGTGACCACCTAGTAACTCTTTAGTTACTATTATGTGGTGTAAGTCGAAAAAACTATTAACAATAACGCGTAATTTAATCCCCGCCCCGCATCGTAACGTTTTACAAAAGGACCCCCCTCCCAAAATACGTTACGTAATACTTGAACGCTCCCTTAGGAGGACTACACAACACACGCAAAGACGATTAATATTTAGAAAGATTTGAAATATTAACGTATATATGTTTGATCACACAGATCTCTAAGTATATAAAACAATTTAAGAATCATAACAATGAGTTTTTTATGTGTGTGTGATAAAGAAGTAGGCCTAAACTATAATTAGTACATCCAATCAAAGTAAAATAAATATCGAACAACAAATAATTTGCCACTTTGAAACAGAAGACTTTGCCGACATTTCATTTTGGTTGCAATTAAGAAACTCAATCATTTGAATGCACAAAAATGTTCAGTTAAATATTTGTCGGAGTTTACAAATCAATGATATATAGACATATATATATTGAAGTAACATTTTATTCTACTTACAGTAAAAGTTTGGGGCATATTCCCTGCAACTGTGTTTGGTGTTGTAGGATTAACTATCATTACAGCAGCCGCAGCATGGTTTGAATGGGGAATTAAACCTAAAACAGTATAGAGAATGCTTAAAATTTACTCGTTAAATATTTAATAACATTTTCTTTGAACAGTATATATACATTGCCTAAATGAAGAAATTTCATAACGCAATGAGCTTATCATTGATCAGTGATAATTTTTGCATCAGCTTACGATAATAATTAATTAATTGTTATTTTTCGTTACAGATAAAACATTTATTATTTAAAATAATACCATTCTGCATTTGATGAGCGTAAGGATGAAGGGAATGTGAACCAGAAGAGCTGGCATCATCATTTAAGTTGTCACGATCTCCAGAATGGTGTTCTCTGTTCTGGACTGTGAGCGGAAGTGCTCTCGGTTGTGGCCGTACTGGGACAAATCTACCAAATCCGCTTTCAAAGGCAACTGAATTATCTAAAAGGAAAGGATTTGTAAAAAAATATGAAATATAATTTGCTGTAATATTTTTCAGAAAGGCATGGAGACATTTATATCAACACAAAGGCAACTTAAAACAAAATTGAAGACACCCAATTGTCAAGTAAATAAAATTTATCTTAAGGAAGTATACTTTTGCAAAACACACACATATAATAATATTACTTGTATAACAAAGTACATATATGGTCTTAAATAGAAACATAAAATTAGGTTATAACTTACCTAAATCTGTAAAATCTTGATCCGATGTATTGTTTGTTTGTTTTCTAGACTGATTACTGTTACTACTTCTTGGATTGTATTCTGATACTGGCACCCAATCTAGGGCGGTCTAAAAAGTCACACTCATAAAACACCAAAACTTGCAAGGCCTCATGGAATTAAACTTGTTATAAATACCTAATTAAAATTATACCTTTTTTGGACCAAACTTAGAAAGACAACCTCCCATAAGTTAATTAAATCTAATAATGAATGTAATTGATTGAAATTATAAATAGATTATCAAGAATTTTTTACATGAATATCTCTAAGCAAATTGACTTGGCACTATTTTGGCGAACAGCCAGTAAATATGGCACATTTCAATCTAAAAATACTTTATTCTCCTGTGTGAATCTTTGTTTCTGGTTTCAGTTATTCAGTGCACAAGCCGCGGTAAAGGTGTTTAGACTGTTGAAGGGTTCATTTTTATAATTAATTAAATAGGAATACTTACAGATACTAAATTTGATGCCATATCTCTTCGAGTAGGTGTTACGGCTTCTTGAGGCACATTGCAATTGTTACGCACTTTCGTTTTAGGAATTGTACCGGTATGACTTGGATGTCGGTCTTTATTTCCAGGAGCCATGGTATTCCACCATACGAATAAACGAAAAAGATTAACGAATGTTAGTTAAATAAGAAAGTGTTATTTTTTTGTCATAGTCTTAACATTAGAGAGCTAGCTCGAATTCCCAAATCACAATCTAATAGGAATTTATTATTTCAATAATTATAAGTACACAAATAATATCCGATTTTTCTGCTGAGATTTTATAATTCTATATTTATTTTTTTATTTTATAAAGTTAAGGGGAAAATAAGAATAAACGAAATCTTGCCAAAGATGGTCGATGGTAGCTGTCAGACAGACATAAGACAGCAGCGGCATAGAGTAAATTGTATTACTGACACTGATAACTGACATATCAGTATTCAAACTAGTTTAGTAGGGAAAGAGAGGTGACTCTCGACTACAATTTAAAGCTTAATGTTATTCTACGCCCTCTTACATTCAGCCCCTAAACTAAGACCTTAGTATTTATAATAAATAATTAAAACAAAAAAATCTTCTTCCTAAACTTCATTTGTTTTTTTTTTTGAGATTTTGAACGTTTCGGTAATTCCACTGTGTAATTCCCTTTACAGGCGTAGAAACGCGGGTAGGCAACGTAGTGTATACTGTATACACATCCAGAGGAATTATACATAAATACCTTCATAGGTATAAGTAATACATACAGATTTCTTAGTACCGAATCAAAACTTTATATTGGTTACGATATTCTATTGCGTCACTGAATTTTCGAAAACGCTTTTTTCACAGCCATGGAACTTGTTGCGACTCTACCGCAACGTATTTATAACCTACTGTTCGTAGCACCCTATTCCTTCATGTTACTGCTGGATTAAATGTGTTTAATTAATGTCATTTTCTGTTTATAATCACCAAACTTAAAACATAATTATGTAGAAGATTTTAATGTTATTTCATTCCTCGAAAACAAATTATGGTTAAATTACATTTATCAATCAGTGTCTTGTTCTATAAAGCCACTAATTTAAGTGCGATGAGAAAACCAATAAACATTTAAATGAAAAGGTACTAAACAATAAAATTAGACAGTTTCAATTTTAATTCTATGAAATTATTAATTTTATATGGTTTGTTTCATACTCTATAATATTAATAGTACCTATGAATTTGAAAAATATAAAAGTTTATATTTTTAGAATTTCATCTCAAAACAACTAATATGTAAAATAAATTTGTTTTGATTTTTATTTTAATTATTTATATTATTACATTGTAGGTTAAGAAAATTGTAAATACTGTATACTTGATTAAAAATTAAAGTAGTTTATATGTAAAATAAAGCAACATATTTATTTTAGTCACTTGAAATTAAAAATTTAAATTATATATTGCTAATTACAATTACTATTCAACCATTTATTATATTATTAATATTATATATTTTTAATAAAAATAAGTCGAAGAAATTGAACTACGAAAAAACATGGCGGAGAAACACTGTTTATTCCGCACTGTACATACATTAAATTAAACTGAACATTGGGTAACTAAAAGCGTGAGCGTTAGTATATTGTGTCTTTTTGTACCACTCTGTTATGGCGTGGCTTATAGTCCAGTCAAAATAGGCATTTGACTTAGCCAAAATTCGCATAGAGCTGAAAATTGGCAGAGACGTTAAATACATCATTATAAATGAAATGTCAAAAATCCCCTTCGATCCTACTTCTGCAAAAAATTTTATTCAAGGTCAAATGTATAAAATTAAGGTTTTTACCATTTTTCTCGAAAACAGTTAGTATTATCGTGAAAATAGATCAGACAAAAGTTGTAGATCATACAATTCTCTACAAAAATGGTTCAGTCACTTTTTCTCTTACGACTCACCATTCATGAGATATCGCGGTTTTAATCATTAGAAAATTCATATTCTACATAATATGCACACATTTCCGCACCACCTATGAGGTAATGTACTTGGCGCATTTTTTTTAACGTGGTTTCCCAGTAGGTATACTCCACGATCTATTGTAATAAAGAAAGTTTGATCAGATCGTATCCTATTAATTGAAAGAATAGTAATATTGCTAATGATTAAAGTGGAATAGGTTGTTTTTTTCTACATGTCTTCAACAATTATTTCTTCGTCTTCATTCTCTTCTTCTTGCAGAATTTCTGTTTGCTGTTCTAAGAAAAGGGATGCATCAATTGTCTCTTCATTAATATCATAAATATCTTCATCTGTTGTATTTGTTTCAATATTGGAGCAAGTCTGACCCTGACAATTGATGCATACTGGCGAACAAAATAATCCTACTTTTTGACAGCCACAATTCTTACTACAATCCGTCTTGCATTTACAAAAAATAGTATTAAGTAGTTTTTCTGGAGCAGGCGGGAGTAAAGTTTGAATTGGCTCCAAATAATTATCTGTTAATTTCCAACCCCATTCTTCTGGGTCCAGCTCATTGCCTAGCCACACTTGAACTTGATAAGACACACGATACAAGTGTTGAAAGGCAGAAGCAGATGTTGGAGGCAGACAAGACAACTGTACTGTTTTATTGTTCCATGCAGATTTTACAAACTTCAAATATCTATATTTGTCTATGTACATATTAATTTCAAATGATCTACTTTAAATCGTCGATTTTTTAAAATTACTTGCTCCAAAAAAATAAGTCAAGGACTCCGGAATATCGCTGTTAATATTTTCAAACATTTGACTCGGCGGGGAATTTCATATCAATACTACAGATTGAATATCCTCTCGAATATTGCTGCAGAGCTTTCAATCCACTTGTATTTTGTTTTTTATTTTCATACCAAGCTTTATTAAGAATATCGTACTGATTATCAATAAAACAGATAATTGTTAAGCTTCCTTTCTTCTCAGTTATAATAATTTTATCACCATACTTTAACGTTAATCTTCTTTTAATTGTTTTATTATCTATAGTTGGATTTTTGCCGATATCTTTCAATTCTTGTAATGAAAATTGGCAATCATCATTATTTTCAATGTACTGAAATATTTCCTCCATCGCCAAGTTTACTGAATCATCTTCGGGACGACCGACTTTATATCCCGTGGTGGGTCTCAGAAAGATATTATAACAGTTATTGTGGTACTTAGCTTCAGCAGCAACTAAGTCAAATTCATACCCAATGCGGGCAATAACAGCTTTTCCTACGTCATCAGAACGAGTCCGAGCTACCTTTAAAATGGAATCTGTAAATTCAAGTGTAGATACGTTATAAATTTTACGACGAACATTCTGCGCTTTCTTCTTTTCAGCTGCTTCATTTGCTTCATCGCCGCAAAATAAACAACATTTTTTAAAGTTGAAATCTGGCTCACTTACTCGTGCTCTAGTATGAGGTGGACTTATCGTGGTGGTACTACCTTCAGACACTCGCGCTGTCTTTTAGCTGCAACAATACTACTCTTTCGAGTATACATTTTACGACACTGCACGTGGACTGTCACAGATTGATTGTCTTTTAAGTATTCAAAAAAATTATCATTTCTTTCAACACTTGCATCAATCAAAGTCTTCATTCCACGATCAACAACAACGACTTCACTTTCTTTCAAAGGTTTATCACAAATAAAACAAACTTCTGACATTTTGTTTAAATTATTTAACAGCACAAATTAAAAATGAAAATATTACCAATAAGCACGTCTGCTCACTGCACAGGAATTTTCAAAACTAACAGTATATACTGAGTCATTTCATTTACTTCCTTCAAAAATAGGCAGGTATGCGACCCTCCACACTCAAACAATGAGGTAGCTAGCAGATGTTACTCAAGGTTACCGACGAAGGTAATTAGGGACTGACAGTATTGTCTTATATTTTATAATCCTCATTTAATTTATACAAGTTTTATTGTGTAAGTAACACAAACGAATAGTTTCTTATTTTCATTTATATTGAACGTCCGGTGATGTATACAGACTGCATTTTAGTGCATATTATGTAAATTGTGAATTTTCTAATGATTAAAACCATATCTCATGAATGGTGAGTCGTAAGAGAAAAAGTGACTGAACCATTGTAGAGAATTGTATGATCTACAACTTTTGTCTGATCTATTTTCACGATAATACTAACTGTTTTTGAGAAAAATGGAAAAAACCTTAATTTTATACTTTTGACCTGGAATAATTTTTTTTGCAGAAGTAGGATCGAAGGGGATTTTGACATTTCATATAATGATGTATTTAACGTCTCTGCAATTTCAGCTCTATGGAATTTTGGCTAAGTTATGACTTATTTTTGTCTATTTTGACTGGACTATTAATGTATTTCGTCTTACGTCTTTTGGGACTAGGCTATCAAAATTCGGTTCCATCGACACAAACTGTAATTTTCATAAAAAAATACTTTAAGACTTTTGACGCATATTATTAAAGGCGATTTATCTCGGGCTCCTAGACTTGTGTGAATGTGTTTAATTAAAGCCGCTGAGCCAAGCCGGTCTGAGCAGCACTCCCTGAAATTTAATTTGCATTCTGTTTTTTTATGCCTGTACTGTATCAATGGTAAGATACTTAATCAATTATAAACGGTTAATTAATGTTATGTAAAAAATCAAATATAGTTAAAAATTAAGATTCACTATTTTTTTTTACGATATTATAATTAAAAATCTCAACATATTTACTAACTCCGAAAGGTATTATTATTTAGGTTGGTACTGTATCGAAAGGCATACATGAGTATAAATCTTAAATAAGTCTCTAATTTTATTGTTAAATTAATAATCTAACAATAACAATAGAAAAAGGATAAAATTATATTTTATGAACTCTCACAGATAACAAATATTATGGGTCTTTTAGTCCAGCGTTACCAGAATATTACTTTTGATACTTTCACGTTGCCTTCATGTTACACGACTCAAAATGTTACTTTTAGGATTTAAAATAATATTCAAATATTCAGCAAACAAAAACTAACACTGAAACGGAACGCACGTTTCAATATTATAGAAGTTATTGAAACAAGCAATTTTGTAATAACCGATTGAACCTAATGTAGACT